TTTAAAAATGTGAGCATTTCTTAAATTATATACCTATGCAAGGAATGTTCTGAAACGTTATGTTGTAGTACAATACATATTTATTACCTTTAATCTGATACTCCTAAACCTAAATTATTTTTTGAGTATTCGTAGTGAGTTTTAAATCGTTTATTTAATTAGGTATTACTTAAACTCGTTTTTTATAATATATTTACCTGTCTCATGTAAACATGTAAGGGTGTTTTAATAGAATTCTAATTATATTTATTCATCACAATAATTATATAATTATGTGCTATATACGTTTAGACTTGTGAAATAAACGTCGATCATTTTTAATATTTCTATCAATAATTTTATACAATACTAAAATAACTTTTAATAACAATATAGTCTTTGCATGAGAACATAAATTAAACAGTATTATGATATTATTAAATATTAATAATAAAAAATATTATTGATTTAAGTTGGTATAGTAAGTACACATTACACACACACATAAACACACTCGCATTTCTTCAAAACAATGGTACGAAATAATAAAAACGTATCATTGCTCAAACTTGCAAACAATTCAGTAGACTTTTAAGCGTTGTTTATAGGCACAAGATAGGCACTTACATTTAAACATAAACAGGGCATCAAAATGTAACGTAACATTCAAAGGAGCAAAAGACGCTATCGCATGAAATATACGATGTAAATTTCATACAGTCGAAATTTGCAAGCTGTTTGTATTCATACAGGGGGAGGTCTAAACGGACGTACAACGCAGCCGGTGATCTACGGTCATTACACGCTCTTTGTCTTCACCCTGTAGAAATTTTAAATTCAATTTTTGCATAACAAATGTTAGGAGCTATATAAGTTTTATAATGTACTTAACGTGAACGGAATTTTTACTTTATTATAACCGTGAATAGACTGATATTTTCTCGGTTAGAATTTTCATAAAGAATGAACAAGGAAAATAATAGTATGTTTTGGTGATTGTGCGGTGGATAGAACATTTTGACGGCAAGTTAATTAAGTAGAAGTAGCCCAATCCAAATGGATTTATGTTTCTAACTATATACCTACGTTATTGGTGATGTATAAATATTATAAAAATAAATATTACACATTTTGGTCATCTCTTTATATCGTAACTTTCGGTCTTAATTGTTGGTTATTAAGACTTGATTAATTAATTTTAATTATTGTTAAGTTATTTAAATAATAGAATAAAGCAAGAATAGTATGTAACGATAGAAAGTAATGGCACTCGGTTATCTCTGTCCACCAAGTAAGATACTTAATGTAATATAGAAGGACTAGATATCAATTAATGTAAAATTCGTTATAATGTGTAATTTGACTATGATATGGCACGCTATCTTTTGATGAATGCTATGATTAACCCATAAATCTCATACAATCACAATAAATAAGCTACTAAATTAAACATTAACAAAAAAAGAGCACAACCCATTGAGAAATCAGTGTAGCGTAAGATTAAGGGCAATTTAGTAAATAAAGCGCCCCACGAGGAACTTCCCGGTCACTAGTGTAGTCATTAATCATTGCTGCCCTTTGGGGATGAAAGAATTCGTATAAAAATTTGTTCAACCCAAATACCATCGCTGTCTACGATATATTGATTAATAAAGCTAATATTACAACTAATTGATGCCGTCTAGCAACTTAGCAGATTTCCTTATTCACTTAATCATTTATGGCAAATAGCAAATTCAATCCTCGCGCTACATGTGAATTTATGGGTAGGTATATTTGTTGGGTTCACTTTTTATCTATTAATATACATATATTTATAACAACAAAATATTTATATCCGTCATCTGGTCTTAATACAAGTGTAGCTTAGTTTAGGGCTATATGGCGCTGTGTGAGTCGTCCAAGTTTATTTATTATTTCTAGCTATATTGGCAACAATCAAAACTCTACTGTCTACCTCGGTATCACCTATTTCGACCGACAAGTAGCTTCCTTTGCAAGTTGTGTTTTGGTTGTAGGGTCAGATTAGTCAATGCATTTACAAAATAAGAGGCATGCCATCTTAGTCCCTTTGAATGGCGGTATGACACACATGAGCGGTATTCACGGGTGTCACAATAACATGATGTCCGTAGAGTTGTTTATATATAGGCGACGGTTACCATTTACCACCGATGGGCAAATTAAATGTCATTCCATTTACATACATAAAAAAAATATGCGTCGTCTGGTGCTAATACAAGGTTGACTTACTTTGGTATTTCATGGCACTGTGCGACGTCTAGTTTTATTATTTCTATATTATCGGCAATAGTTTTCCTACAAAATTGTGATAGAAATTTCTATAATATATATATATATATATATATATATTCTATAAAATTCATTCACGTACCGTAGTTGCCCCAATGGTCTTCGAATCGATTGTTAGGCGGTACAAAGTTCACTGGGTCAATTTACTTAGTACCTAAAATTTACAAATTTTCCAATAACTGAACAATTGCGTTGAAAAACGTGAACAAAAAGTTGCCAACTGATGTAAAAGAGAGCTGTACACTACAGCATAGAATGGTTAAAATTAGGTCAATATCATATCTAATCATTACTAAGTTATTGCTATGCTACCTACTTTAACTAGTTTAGTTCAAATACACGATAATAAAAGTTACGCATTTAATTCGGTGTTTACAATATCGATAATTATTATCAGGCTTTTACCATTGTTATTTTTTTTTAAACAGTAAGTCATCATTATGAATTATTTAGGCCTAATCTTAGTCGATACGTCACATGTTTATATTTAGAAAAAATTAGAATGATGCAAAGTTCTAAGAACAATATTGTCAATATATTTTAATTCAATATCTTTTAATAGAAAAGGTCAATCCTATTTCCACGCAAATGGAGCGTAACATTTGAAATTAGAAAAATTGGATTGAAATGCAAAGGAGGCAATCTCTGTTTGAACTGAGAGACGAAGCCACAGATGTTATTATATTTTATAAACGTAGCAGAACAATAGCAAAAATTGATCTGAACTCATAGTTTAACGAGCATTATTGGAAGTTTTTATAAAAGAGCCAAAGAATTACCATGCAAGTGGCAAAAGAAGTAGCACTTCTTTCTATGCGATCCAGCTCGAAAGGCTCTTACTGTCACTCTACTGAATGTTCTTCTTATTTATATTTCGGTACACATATGTTTTTGTAGTTTTTCATTAAACTTGATTAGACTTTTTTGTTTACGTTTTACGCAATATCTTCGCTCAATAATGAATTACCGTAATTACTTCGTAATTATTTATTTGTGTATTGGTGAAATTTAATAAAATTATTTTTTTTATATACAAAAGCGATAAAATATATATAATACCTACATAAATACAACTTCAATTTATAATGTTAGGTAGACACGAAATAAAGATACAATACTTCTTTTTATTCTGTATGAACTTAAACAAATACAAAAGTGAATATGTGTATTTTATTACGTTTTCATCTTCATGAAATTTAGTACATACGCTATGTGCATTTGTGATGGAGAAGGGACTCTTTTTCATTTCATGGTCATCCATGGTCAAGGTTAAGTTGTAGAGGTAGGCTATTATTCTATAAGTAGTATTTGAAATGAAAACGAATATCATGGGCATTATATACCGGTCATTTATGTTGACACAAATGCAGTTGTAGGCTATTGTTGTTTTAATAAATATGACACGATCGTTGACGGTGATTGTACTGTGTTGTCGGCACCGTCTGTGGCACTGATCCAGTGTAATCGTCGCAAACAGCTGCCGCGTCACGTGGCTACACGGATATTGTGCCAGCATCCCCGCACTTGACCACACCAACTACCAACTGTTATGATCAATAACGCCAGTTCGTTGGTTAACAACATTGTCATGTTAGTACTTATTGCTACAACCTCTGAATACAATTGCATCTGTATAGTGATTACCCACATCGCATCACCTCCCCATGATTGTGTGCTTGTTCTACATATAATGCAAACGCTTACAAGTATAACCATACTAATATTATAAATTTGAATGTGTATCAGTCTATTTATTTGATATTTTTTGCCGACTGAACCTGAGAGTATAATAGGTAAAAGATACACTATCTTTAATATAGAAAAAAAAACTAATTCGAGGAAAACAACTAGTACCTCTAAAATGAATACTCATTTTAGAGGTACTAGTTGTATTCGAAATATTATTATTTTGAGACAATTTTTAAAATTTAATAATTGTAAAGAAAATTATTTTTGTATACTGATTATACTACTTCTTTGTAGATTATCCTATAAACTGGTACAAATAACTACATATAATTAAAAAAAACATAATTTATTGATCTGTAAGATACTTAGCTCTCAGACTACACTTCACTAGTCCATAATGAACCGGAGAGTCATCAACGAATTAATAGCTCGAAAGAGATTTTTAAAATATACTTCCAGAGGTTTATGAGATCATAAAATTCCTTGAGCTACGAGTAATTTAAGTTGTACATAATGAAGTTAAAAAATATCATAAAAATAAATTAAATTTACTCCATAAAATTAAAAAGTAGAAGTATATAGTGCAAATAATCCATGATGTTAATAAATTCAGAGTTCTATTGTGAACGTGCAGGGTTGTATTTTGCTTGCATCAATGAGATCTTGCGGCCTAAAAAAAATTACAAGGTGTTAAACTGCTATTCACAAAACTGCAGTTCTATTGTATTTTAGAGTCATATCTTAATGTAATTTCTGTGCTGTTCTTTTGAAATATATTGGAGAAATACTTGTCAAAAAATAAAAATTTAGTCGGTTGGACCACCCTCATCTATTATGGACACCCGTACGACACTCGGACATAATTAACAATAATTTCATGTATAAGATATATTGTCTTGTTGTAAGCACAATGTTGACTTTAACAATGTTCAATCTCATAATGTCAAACAAAGTCTAAAAATAGTAAAAAGTTGGAACTAGATGGTTACCATGTCCAGACAGAGTACTTCTAATTTATCTTATATTATAAAGTCATCCATCATTTGTGTCTCCCAAGGGGACGGTGTACGTCCGTACTCCTGAAAATAACGAATGAGATAAAAATCTTATCGCCAACACCATATTTTCGATTTCTAATCCAAATAATGGCGGGCAGACTTTTGGTACTTAGTTTTATTGAAACACCGGAAAGTAATTTCATTTTGAAAAAGAGCTTTAAATAAATAAGCACCTGATGCAGATTTTACATATATATATACGTTGAGTATACCTATGAATTATACTTATTTTAATATATACACACAAACACCCATAATATAAATACACGCATGTATACACCTATAATCAGATCTACACTAATATTATAAATGTCAAAGTATGTCTGTTTGTTATTTTCATATCTAAACGCCTTAAACAGATCTTGAAAACTACATAAAAATTTATTTTATCTATAAAAAGCAAACGAAGTCGCTGGAAATAGCTAGTAAAATATAAATATAAAATTAAACACTATATAGCACAGTTCCTTACGGGATAGGCCTAGAAAACTGTGGCGTGTATGTGTGGTGTGTGTAGTGGCTGACGATAGACATTTACACACAACTCATGTATAATTCAATTTTATAACTCGTTTCGGACTCGTTTTTATGAAGACTCTTAACTTATCTTTGAAACTGTACACAAAATAGTTCATAGATAAATCAGTGCCGATCTATGCTTACTTGCAAAAAACGATAAAGAAATATTTATTTATTTATTTATTAAAACTTTAATGCACATAATTGAAAGTACATATGGCGGACTTAACACCATGCGGCATTATCTACCAGTCAACCATGGGTGGTGCAGAGAATGATTGTTGGCGGTGCAAATTAAAAAAAAAAATATGTAAAACGATACACATAAAAATATACATGAATAAATAACTACATATATATATACTTACATAAACCGTACATAAATACATAATTAATAAATAATCTGACAATGAAATATCATGTACTGCCACAAATAATGGAATTAAAAGTATATATATATTTATACCTAAAAATAAAAAGCACAATGAGAAAACAGGACACAGAAAAGGTTACAAGTTTAAATAATGTTCCCGTAATTTACGCTTGAAAAAAAATCTACTCGTGACGGTTTTGATATGAAGGGGTAAGTCATTCCAAAGTTTGATTGCCTGAATGGCGAAAGAATAATGGACAAAACCAGACAAATGAGCCGGGATATGAAGTAATAATTTTCTAGTAGTGCGAACAGAGCGATTGGTGTTGTCCCCATGGAAATGAAATTTGCTGCTAATGTATTCAGGATAGTTTGGATCGTACAGAATAGAATAGAGAGTGCATAAAATACGGACATTTCTACGATAACGGATAGGCAGCCATTTAAGCTGTGAACGAAAAGATGAGATATGATCGAACTTACGTAAATTAAAAATGAAGCGGATAGAATTATTAAGAAGACGATCCAATTTATTTAGAAGGTCTACATTCATGTCAGAACAACACACATCAGCATAGTCGAGGGTAGGGAGCACTAAGGACTGGATGAGTAAAATTTTTGTGCTTACAGGGAGAAAGTTTTTTAACCTATATAAGTTGCGCAATGTAAGTGTGACTTTACGGCCAATTTCGCTAACATAGTTCTGCCAACTGAGAGTACTGTCCATTAATAAACCTAGGTTCTTAACTTTAGTACTGTATGTGATAGGTTGATTGTTGAACAGGAGTGGAGGTAGAATATTGAAATTAATTTTACTGACTTGTGGACTGCTTCCAAGAATGATCGCCTGACACTTAGAAGGGTTAACAAATACACCAAACTTTTTGGACCAATTGAATATATGACCAAGATCATTATTCAATTGGTCGATGGCTTCATTGACCTCAGCCGCAACTGTCTGACAGTATATCTGAAGATCGTCTGCATATAAATGGTAAGAACATTTCAAACTCTTAGTGATAAAATCAATAAAGATAGAAAAAAGTAATGGAGACAAAATACCGCCTTGGGGGACGCCAGCGTCAAGATCGCACCAATCAGATAATGACTGATTGACACGAACCGCCTGCTGACGTCCCCGAAGATAGGAGGAAAACCATTTAAGGACTGATGATGAAATCCCAAGATGAGAAAGGATAGCTAGTAAGATATCATGGTCAACGGTGTTAAACGCATTTGAGAAATCGACTAGAACGAGAACAGTTAATTTTGAATGTTCCATACCCTCTCTCGTATCCTCGGTGATTTTCAATAAGGCACTAGTGGTGCTGTGTCCAGGTCGAAACCCCGATTGGAATGGATTTAACAGCTTGTTTTTAAAAACAAAGTCGGATAACTGCCTATGGACAACAGCTTCAAGTATTTTAGAGAGAAAGGGCAGGATTGAGATAGGTCTGAAATCTTTAAGAAGATTTGGGGATAACACTTTAGGAAGTGGAAGAACAAAAGCATTTAACCATGCTGCAGGGAATTCAGAAGAGAGTAGAGAAAAATTAATGATGTGAGTAATGATAGGGAGCATGGCTTCAAGTAAGAGAATTATCATAGGTCTACTCACATCATCAGAACCAGTACAGTTAGATTTAATTGAGGATATTATCTTAAAGATTTCATCATCAGAGGTGGGTGTAAATAAAAATTCAACTACAGGAAGTTTAGGCCATGAAGTTATCTCAGCTAAAGTACTTGACTTTTGAGAAACACTCAAAGCAGGGACGGTGGAAAAGTGCCTATTAAGGTCATTCAATGAAAATGAAGAGGAAAAATCATTAGGTTGCTTGCACAACCCAAGTGATTTGAGAAACTTCCAAGTATTGGCCGAAGAGGAGTTATGAATATTCGAATGGATGTAACGGCGTTTAGCTGCTCTTACCATATAGTTGCAGGTGTTGCGGGCAGTTTTGAAATTACTCCAATTCTCATCGCAACGATCCCTTCTATACAACCTAAAAGCACGATTTCGTTTTCTCATGGCCATGCGTACTGCCTCAGTTATCCAGGGAGCTGGCTGTCTTCTAACCTTAACTAGATGGGCCGGTGCATGTTTGTCCATGATTTGAAGCACAGTACGATTAAACTCGGATACCTTGTCATTAATACATGAGGCGGACAGTACACATGACCAATCAACTGTAGTTAGATCCTTGCCCAATTTTGTCATGTCAACTCTTGAGAAATTTCGAAGACGAACTACTGCCGGTTTAGGTTTAAAAGTTTTAATATCATACGAAAGATATAATAGGTCATGTCGAGAGAATTCTGGTGCAGGTAGTTGGCCATGTTTTAGTACAGATGTTGGTGATGAGATAAAGATGTGGTCCAACCAAGTGTCAGGAAAATCTTTGTTGATATGCGTGGGACCAAGGGGTAATACAGAAAGGCTTGCCGAATCCACAATATTGCGCAGTTTGAGAGACCTGTGAGTATCTTGTAGCAAGTCAGTATTAAAGTCTCCCATGATAATGTGATGTGTGTGCTCTGTCATAACAGTTTCGAAAACAGACTCGAGGTCTAGAAAGTAATCAATGGAAGGAGGACAATAAACAACACCAAGAACGATCTTGGTACCCCTAATATCAACCGCCACGAATAAATATTCAGCGCTACCAGTGATGGATGAACTAACTAAAATTTTATAATTAATACTACCCCGCAGGTAAATGGCCACACCACCTCCTCGCCTATCAGTGCGATCATTACGTAGCAAAATGAAACCAGGTAAACTAACATAGGTGGAGGGAATAGTAGCATTTAACCAGCTTTCAGATACCAGAATCACATCGACTGTATTCGTACTAAAAGTATTCATTAGATCTCCATGGTGCTGTGGTAAGCTCTGCGCATTAATATGACATATATTCAAGGTACGACCGGTGCTCACAAGTTCCCGGCTGAGATAGGTGGAAAGAGAAGGTTCAAGTATCGATCCATCAAGCGACTGAAAAGAATCATTCGAACTATTGGCTGTACAAAAAGAATCATTATCAGACATTTAAGAATAAATATAATAGTAATATATATATATATATATATATATATATATATATAATATAATATACACGGCACGCTATAAAAAAAAAAATATATATATAATAATTGCAAGCGTATCGCCGACAATGATGCAATGATGCAAAATATCTGACTAATGTTATAGAATAGAAGCAAATCGTAACTATATACAAATGGGCAATATATCACAGCGCTGCTCTTACGAATACTGGCTAATATATTATCTATCTGCTTACTAAATTTAATTCGAAACGGACTAGTAACTTTTACGTGAAAGTATCACAAAAATCTGATCAAACTTTATGAACTTAAACTCAAACTCGAAATTATATATTAATTATATTAACATAAGAATTCTCGGCCTCCTGTGATATGTCTTATAATATTAGCAAAATAGGACGTTTCGGTCTCTGTCCACATCATATGTTTTATAATATTAACACAATAAACGAAAATAATAAATACCAACATAATTCCATTGTAGGCTTCTTCAAATGATTTTACTTTCACTTTAGGCATATCTGGATATTTATAAAAGCTCGGCAGATAATCTGGGTATTTCAATTGGTATAGATGTGATTTTAAGTACGCTTTGATATCCTTTGGTTTAGGGTAGACAGTTGCTAAATCTATAACAACAATACTGAATCAAACACAATGTTTATATATATAAGAAACTGCACAGTTTTTGTGAAGTCTTTTATAAGAGTAATAAAAAATAATCTTATGGTCATCAACCCACTGCATTCCACTGATCGATTTGGCTAATCCCAAGCTATATCAATATCCTATTATATCATAGCTCGACCTACTCGTAACTGCAGGTCATTCTGCATTGCATTTGCTTCTCAGCTAGTTCAATTTCCAGTTACAACCAACTTGATGCCACTTCACGATTCGAAATCGTCTTGAACTATACGTCTAGTAATTTAACTGTCTGGTGACTTACTTCGTTATATATTCAATCCCTTAGAGAAGTTATTCATAGATCTTAAATATAATAATCTCTCATAAAATTAAAATAAAATTACTTTTGACTATTTTTTCCATTATAGATGATACTACTGGCAGCAATAGTGATTCGGCACGATGGCTCTATCTTTATGAGTATTCTAGACTGAGTGATTTTTGGAAATAGAGACTTTATGCAATAGAAAATAGTATAAAAAAATACATAATGCTAGGAAATTCTACATACAATCTGCCGTACCCATTCGATATATTATTTACAATTGCAGCATTTATTGTCTCTATTTTGTGTTTCAGAATTAATTCAAGTACCCAATTAGATTTCCAAATCTTAAACACAAAACAAACAAGTTTATATTACGCACCTTTCTTATAAGTCATTTTAGCAACTTCCACAGCTATAGTTAATGACACTTCCTTAATTTGTTTCAAAGGAGGATACAAACGACCAATATTTAAATCACTTTCATGAACAGATTTCGCCAACGTCTATAAAAAATAAATTATTTTCAACCAACTTCAAAACGAAGGGGATTCTTAACTAAACTATACGTATGCGGTATAAATGAAAATAGCGAATAGTATTTATTAAAAAATAAAATTAGGAATCTTAGTCTTTGTGTTTGCTAGATTTGTCTTCACAATCTTTGATGTCAATAAGTCGCAAAAGTAATAATTTTCAATAGGCAAGTTTTATATAACATTTTTTAAACATACCTTTGCAGCCGTCAAAAATATATAATCGGGTATATGATGTGCTGACGTTGCAATGACCCCAAGCGCTACTCCAGGAAATATGTACGAGTTATTTCCTTGCCCTGTATGATATTCTTTCCCGTCGTACGTCACTGGTGGAAACGGAGAGCCAGATGAAAAAATACAGCGCCCCTAATAAATATACAAACCATAGATAAGATAATAACCATAATATTAACCGTAATAATAACCATTTACCTGCATAATAGTAAACCATGATGTTGATATTGGACTATACGTCTGACTAACCTGTCAGACGCATAGTAAAATATCAACGACTTGGTGAACGTAACACATGAGATCCCATATTTCACTGAATGTATTTTGAGTCCAATGTGTCACATATCGGCATTTCTTTAATTTTATTATCTATGTTACCACCACTCGAGTGCAGTTACAAATATAAATTAGCATACTTAGTTTATGGTATCAGCAATATTTAAGCTCACCTCTGTATTGTCATAGGCGGCTTGTGCGGTACATTCTGCTTTGTTCGTTGGATTTGAAAGAGCAAAAATAATTGGTCTCTCATTATGTTTGCCCATCAACTTCAATATAGATGGCGTGAATGCACCACCTATAGTTGAACAACCTGCAAGTTTTGCAATAACCTTGTATTAGCATAATTTAGTCGTAGATTGCATATACAGCCACAACATACCTTGCTATATTATAGTGTAGCGCAATGGTTATCACCTCACCACTGTAGCTTTATATTATTGTTATATGATGTGATGATGTATCGCTACTAATTTGTTTAGTATATGACTAATTATAATTTCATACTTCTACATTCGCATTAGCATTTTTAATGAAAAGGGATACAAAATTTTTGTGTCAAATATCTTTTCAATTGTATTTTAAGTTTTTACTAAATTAAATATTCTTGGCTAAAACTGTAAATGCGCCACGGATATATGTATATAATGAGAGATTTGCTTGGCTTGGATGTTGATGATGCTTGATGTTGGACAATCCTTCTCTAGTTAGAAGATTAATATTTTCTAGTATCCAATAATGATATGATATGACGTTACAATAACAATATTATTCTGAAACTCTGCGGTTATCAATAAAAATAGCGGAGCTTCTCAACGGATTTTAAAGTAAGATATTTTTTCTATTACTATCTTTTCTAATATATTAATTATTTATAGTTTCAAGTCATACCATATCTTAACAAAATCTGCACACATTTAATAACATATTTTGCAATAATAGAGTCCCGTGTTAGTGTTAGTTTCAATAATATTACCAAGATAGACTTTGTACTAAGTCATCACGCGTAAACTCAGTATCGTCAATTTCAGCCGTCAAGCATACTTGTCAAACGTACTTTTTAATGTGTTTCATTCCTATATGAAATTACAGCGTGGAATTACATACCATGATTTTGTAGTCCAATTGGAATGGCAATGCATGAGAGGTCGTCGAATGATGACATGATATCTGTTATACTGTTCATGTCTATAGATGTCGATTATCATTTACAGTCAGGTAACCCGTCAGCTTGTCTGAGGGTTCTAATTGTAATGTGGGAAAAAAGGCATTTTTAAAAAATCACCTATTATACATGTTGGCTTCAAAATGTCCACACATGTTTCGAAGCTCTTCTCCGGTTCCATATCCTTGCCGAAATTCACAGCGTGCGCCGGGACGCCTTGAGGACGACGAGTGGTCAAGAGTCCATCTATATCAAACATAAATATCCGGTCTCGAGCTTCTTGTTGTGACATTCCTTCGTCCATCATTGCTAATACTGTCAAGTCAGCAATTCCATTCGCCGCCTACAAAACATTCGTTGAATTTAGAACCGAAAATTTAGGTAAAAAAATACCTATAATATAAAGTTTGCTTGTAACTTTTGTTAGTAAACTCTTGTGTTTATAGCATTTTTTTCTATTGAGATCTCACAATAGTTAGTACGTTTTCAAAGTATTAATATTTAAGACCCAAAACATTGACGTTGAAGTGTATTGACAATTATAGAATTTATAAAGCAATTCTATTAATCCTACAGCATACATACCTTACTCGCATTTCTGAAATATCTTATGAAGACAATTAAATAGAGAAATGTAGGAATGTTAGCTACTTACAGATCCAGCACCGAGATACAAGTATTTATTCTCTGATAATTTCTTCTTAGTAATTCTTGTTGCCGCCAATAGTCCGGCGACCACTACACTGGCTGTGCCCTGAATATCGTCATTGAATGTGCAGTATTTTTCTTGATATTTCTTTAAAAATCGCCCAGCATTCGGGAGAGCGAAATCTTCAAACTACTTAAAACATCAAATATTAAAATCTCTCAATTCTCGGTACATATCTTAACTAATTTTACTGTTTTCAAGTGTAAAGGATGAGATATGGAAATGAAATTACAAGAGACTCAGTAACTTAGTTCTTGAGGTGCACCATCATCATGTCTTCATCAGATGCATTTGCAATTTGCAAATCTAAGTAAAATTAAAATAAAAACAGATAACATAAAATGTAGAGCATTTTAATATTGGAACCGTATTTGTAGAGGACTCTATTTTTATTAATCAACTCTGACCAGTGATTGACGTACTCAGCGAAGTAGAACAAGAAGCGGTGCCTATATGAAAGGATTTCGCCGAATTCCGAATTAAAATTATAAAATATTCTTAGGTTAATTTAAAATTGTTAATAACTGTGAAAGTTACTTTGGAGGAAGGATATCAACTAACCTACCTAAAAATTAGTACTCTAAAAGAAATCCAGTTTTAAACATTCCGCATATTTTTTATTCTTTCGACCATATTTTACTACACACTTAATAATTGCCACAATTACTTGCAGAAGTGTATTTGGTCCATATCTTGTGACACATGCCTTCATAAATTCGTCCAAGAACTCATCGTACTTCTCACCCCGAACTCTCTTCTGCCGTACACCAATATAAAGAGGATCTTCTAACAAAGTCTAAAATTTCATACAATAATATTAATACAAGCAATTTGTTTTTATAGCAGGGTATAGTTTTGGAGTTTGAATGTTAAGGATCAACTTCATATAATAATAACACTACTAATCAGATTTTGAAAATTATTTTAGTGTCAAATATCCTATTTATTTAGGAAAGTTACAAACTATATAACATCACGCTACAACCAATAGGAGCTGAGCTGGAATAAAGTGTTGTAAAACATGACGCAGACGAAGTTACGCGGGTCAGATAGGTAATCTTAATCATTATTACATAGTATAAAATAAAGTCGCTGTCGCAATCTGTCCCTATGTATGTTTAAATCTATAAAACTACGCAACGAATTTGGAAGCGATTTTTTTAATAGATACAGTGATTCTAGAGGAAGGTTTATATATATAAGACATGTACAACCGGGTGAAGCCGGGTCGAGTAGCTAGTAATATTATAAACGCGAAAGTTTGTGACTATGGATGGATGTTTGTTAGTCTTTCACGCAAAAACTACTGCACGGATTTTAATGAAACTTTACAGTAATATAGCTTATACATCAGACAAACATATAGACTATAAATTTCATGCGGGTGAAACCGCAGGAACAATTAATATACTTAATATAAAGTTAATACCTACTAGTGCTCCCTCCTAGACTTGACTTATATTCTTAAATAAGATGAGGCATTACTGACGCTTGTGTACCATCTCGATTACGAGTATTGATTGTAAATATACTGAAAACTCGCAAACGAACGGATTGATATAAAAATTTTACCTCGTTGTCAGTACCAACGTCCAGCATAATGGGTAGACACTGGTGTGGTTTTATCCCAGCGAGTGCAGTATACAATGCAAGCTTGCCTACTGGTATGCCCATACCATAAGCGCCCAGATCGCCTAAACCCAAAATACGCTCGCCATCAGTGAACACTATCGCTCTAACATCGTGTTCGGGCCTAAAATTGACATTACATGTAATATTTTCGGTCAATGTAGATCTATTTATATCGAGTCGACATAATCATTTTTGAAGGAAGAACCAGGGATGGCTTTATATAGGTATATTTTACAGGTAAATAGCCCTGGTAAGGTAGCGGTTTGATAACAATCAGTATAGTATCATATTCTGATTACCGAGCTCAATTCCCGTACAATACATGTATGGATCTATAAGTTTACGGAAAAATATCGTTCGAAGGATGATATATGTAAGGCACAAGATACGGAGGCAAGACACTAGTGCTCCGGAATGGCAAGGTAGGTGGTCTACCATGGTCGTCGACAATCACGGACATCGCAATAATATGATGTCCGTGATGTTATAGATTGCCGTTTACCATCAGGTGGACCTTACGGCCATTCCTTTTATATAAAAAAATACTTATATACACAACTTAATTGACAGGCCACTCACCAATTTCTGATTATATCATATACATGTCCTTTGTCATTAATACTGATAAATAAACCTCTTGCTCTTCTGTATATAAGCCCAAACTTCTGACATGCCAAACCTACAGTCGGGGTGTACACTATAGGTAAATATTTCTCGATGTTTTGAGCCAGTAAGCTAAAGAATAACCTTTCATTTATGTCCTGAAAAATAGTGTAAACATGCAAAATTCAATTTACGTCCTGCCTCCTACTTTCTGCCTACCACTTTTACTATAAAAATATATCAGTTTTCATTTCCACTATAAAAGACTACATACTTGAAACGCAACAAGATATATGTAATATGTAACCAATATAAAAAATAAATCATTAGCCGACCACCAATAAATCAATAACAGACCACCGAAAAGATCCTTAAAACACGGAAAGATCCTTATTTACATTAATGTGAATGAGGATCAAACTGTAGTAAACAATAATATAGATACCTGCAGTTCCACTAAATACAAATATTTATTTAAATCACTTTTGTATCTGTCCACTGATATTCTTGCTATATCAATCTGTTGTTCTTGGGTTTTAAAATTCGACGCCAATAAACCTTGAAGTCCTAAGGCCTGGCGCTCTTCTAATGTGAACGCGAGACCCTAAAATCGTATATAACACAAAATCTATTATTTCTATTAAATGATGATACACAGACGATTTTGATAGTATATAACAAGCAACTTGTCTATTATAAATATTTGAATTTGTCGGTTTGTTCTATACCATAATACGCATGTATTATACAATTAAACTTTCCTCTTAAATCTATTGCTGAAAACGGCATCAAAATCCGTAGTGTAATTTAAAAGACAAAGGCGGACAGATAGCTATGGCGACTTTGTTTGATGCCGCTACTATATAAAGTAAATTCTTAAAACAAAGAGAATTGCACCTATTTTTTCTTTTTTTGAAAGTAAGTTATGAATTACTTTGTAGCTCATATTTAACGTTGTAGTAACTTGTTAGATCCACTACCTAACAAGTATGTTTCAGCCATAGCTATCGTTTCCAGAGTTGCTGGATTCTATTTGATCTATGGCAAAATTGCCATGAATTACTTCAACGTACCTTATTCATACGAGGATCTTTTAGGTGATCTATACCTCTCACCAAGTTCGGTACGATGATGTTTCCTGTAACCTCATGGAAATTCCGACATTGAGCCAGTATCGCTTCAAGATTTATCCTTGTGTTTTTAACTACATATAATAATACACTAATTTGGCGGGCCGTTCGTGTATTCCTTAAAATAATATTTATATTTTTAATGCTGGATGCAAAATAATTATAATTACTCAAAAATGTATAAATACCTAATGGAAATTTCTATATTATGAAAAATATACTTACAACAAAAATCTACATAAAAACATTATAAATATATCTCCGAAGTTGTAATAATGACAGTGACGTTTTCTTCACAATATTTCTTTATATTTTATAAGTCATGCAAATGTTCAGCCAGTATCATTTTTAACGAAGTATCACTAGTACCGGATTTGTTCTTTTAGACTTCAGCGTAATTCAGCCCAAAGTAATTTCGAGAACAATGAGTTCCCTAAATTATCTAGTATGTAACTTAGGTATTCTTAATTTAACGAACTCATTTATATTGATATAATTAGCAAAATATTGTGTATTTAATTAAATTTTTATGTTTAATTACACCTCCGATTTTACATTAAAATACGAAATTATTATATATGGTCTTACATATTACTAGAATCATGAATGTAAAAAAGAATTCTATGTATTCATTGATATGTTACATCAATTCATAACTTACAATCTACTTATACATAAAATATAAGAAAATGATAGTGTAACACGAAATTATTAATTTAGTCATAAATAAAACAATAATATATTTCGAACATGTTTAATTAGTAACATCTATAATTTATATAACAATTGCACTAACTAAACATACGACTTGGTACGCCTAAAAGGTACATTACAGTTGCCATGGGGAGATGAGGTAATTGACCTAATCGTAAAATTAAAAAGACCCTCAAACATCAATATCATTCTAAACATATTGCATGATAATTGACAACAAAACAATTCCATTGAACATTGAATAAAATTGGTCTTAATTAAACATGTATATTTTGAACAACTGATAAACATTAACTCATAGTTTAAAAATAATTTTATCTTCACAGCTAAAAATCACTATGTATCAATATTTGTAAATTAAATAAATAAGGTTTACTTCGCTTTGCGAAATGCGTCTCACTTTAAATAACATAATACTAATATTTGCAATCGGTTATTCTAGATCAAGTTAGACTAAAATGTAAAATACATTTAATTTTCTTAAAATTATAAAATAGTCCAAGTTTAATATCATGATCTCGTTTTTCATAAAAGCCTATGTAAAGTATACTATATGGAATATAGTAACAAATTGTTTTCGTGTATTCAATGTTGAAGATATGGACAGATGTTTCAATTCATGTCCAACTCTATTAATTCAATTTTATCCTTAACTGCATTATAATACAGAAAAATAATAAAATTGTAGAACCCCAATTAATAGTGGTATTTGAGGCATACTGTAGTACTATATATCAATTAACAATTAACAAATGCCAAAAAACTTTATTCCTATATATTTGAACTAATTAATCACACTTTAATATTCTATTAGATTCATTTCTTTTTTACGCAAAGATTCGACAACTTCAATCTATGTATATGCATTGAAAAACAAGCATACCACATTGTTTCTACTTAAAGGTGTTATGGGAACTATTCATTGAATGCAAATAGTCTTCAACGCTAAACTGATTAAAATACTACATATACTATTTAGACGAATTTTCGAGTTCTTCTTTCTTGCATTAACTTCTTACAACCCGATTTCAATTTTTGACAGATTGCAAACTTACGCTTTTAGCTTATTCAGGGGGAAAGCCCGTTACAGTACTACAGATTTAATCTATTTTCTTTTATTCAAAATTAATGTTGCCCGCAAAAGAATATTAACATTATAGTCAAGATAATACATTTTCTAAACACATTGACATCTGATAATCGAATTATGATAACTATACTCAAGATATCTAATGTCTTACTGAGCCATGCAATAGTCACAATTTATAATAAAAAATAAAAGATGCCACTAAAATTATTTTTCATCTAATTTATGCATTAATTAGAATTATATTCTAATCGAGCTACATTTTATTCTACAGTCATATACATCCAAATGATTGTGCTTTCTCTTAATATTACTGTATAATTACGAACCTGCATGGTAGATATCCGTAATATAGTTTTAATACCGCGCTGACTAGAGTATTTCCTTTCTATTTTAATAATATTATATTGTTATAATATCAATGTATCCTTAAGATTTTTGCCATTATATAAATTAATACGATAAGTAAGTGCTGTATCGTGTTGTTTCATTTAAATCTTAAAAATTATAAATAATGTAAGTAATAATTAGTTCAAGCAAAAGTGCAATTAGAAAATAACGCTAAAACAAACTGTAATAAAATAAGTTAAAAGTATCTCCAAATGTGTCAGATGTTAGTCACAAAAACATATGAGCATAATGATATTACAAAGTAAGTTTTTGTTATGAATAGTTCAGCAATAAACGAATAATTCATTGCCATACTTTGTACCAAACATTCCCAACTTCAAAGATAACCATTTCGTGAAATTAGGTAATATGACATATGAAAGGCGCCCATAAATATATAGTTTGACGAACATTGTATATTACTTTGAACATGATTACATTATATAGATTCAACTCGTATTTCTACTTACTACCTTGCACACAAACATACAATAAGACAAATACTACGTGAAATACAAATAGGTCCAGTTACTGTATAAAGATCCAATTAAATTTCAGATACCAAAGACAGAAAATATTTTTTAATAAAATAAATTGTCTGTGGTGTTAGAATTATTAACAATTCTAATAAATCTATATTAACCGCTTCAAATCATAATCTGTGTTATTTAACGCCAGCGTTATAAAACATGCAACTGGACCAAAGCCCTACTTTTCGAATAACATACTTCGTGCTACAGGATGACATTACAGATGCATTCTTAAATCCCTAATTCATATCGTAACAATAATAAACAAAATCATGAACACTCCCATAAAGGCGTCAAAGTGTCGATTACAGTCGACTCTTACAATATGTGACGCGATGTTCCTTGCGCTTAGATAATAAAATAAATAATTAAAAAATAGTAATACTGTTTAGATGTTTTTCGGTACTGGTTGGATTGGTTTTACATTAAATTTCTCCTCGGGTTTCCAATCCCATACAACTGGCAAAGCACTCTCGTAGTAGTAGTTGTACATTTGATTCTCGACATGTTTAGCGAGATCTTTTGGCTCGGGGTAGACAGACGCCAAACCTGCAACAAACTTATCACTTAAACTATGCTTTCATACAACCAACTGTTACGACTGTATCCTAGCTGGACTCATCAGAGGCAGTACTTGTTGATGTTGTAATGAACGCAGCACGTGACATATCCGCATTTTACTTGGTTCATATAAATTCAACGTGGCAGGGGCGAGCCTAATACCGTCTCATGGATTATTTTTTGATTTGATACATGTGACTATTGTGGAAGAATCAAATATAAATAAACGATGTTTTTTTTGTATCGGCCAAATTAAAAAACACGGCCTTTTGGATGTTGTAATTCAAGATAGTAAACCATTAGCCTCGTGGCCTTAACACTCTTAAAATATAAAAGTTATTTAGTTATTTTTATAATTTTATTCACGTATCTACATATCATAAGCTGATAATGCAAGTAACACAAATATATAATTGTAATCTATTGTAATGACGTTTAACAATCGGTGTAATTGAGTAAGGCTTAATTAAATAATGTATTATCATTTTCCATAAGGTTTATAATAACTTGAAGAAGATTTTAGCTACAAAATATTATATTGAATGGAAAATTAAATGCCACGTTTAGCTCAAGTGCATACTATTATTTCTAGATGGTAACATATTGCGTCAGAGTAAAATTAAGTAGAGTCGCAGAAATATATCTAATATCATTATTATTGGTGTTCTATCCCACGAACCTACACGAATTTTAAACATTGAATTCACTTTAATTTGGATTGAATCCTGCGGTACCAGCCGCATAGTGCAGAAACTGTTATAAATGTACAGAACTGATCACTTTGTTTAATTTTTATTCCATAATCTAAGATCTATGTCAGCAAAGTTAGTGACTCGTATAAAGTGTGGTTTTTGAAATAAATAAATATTATTATTAAAATAGATATTATCATAGAAATTAAAGTTTAATTGCTATGAAAATGAGTTATAAAAATACTGTATATATCACACAGGCGATATTGGATAGTAACTAAATCTTCCAAGAAACACCCAAAAAAGTCGCTATTAAATTATTAACAAAGAATCTAAGCAAGAAATGTGGAATATGGTAATTATTAATATTACCTTTAAATTCGTAACTAAGCACTCACCTTCATCGTACGCCATCTTGGCGACTTCAATAGCAATAGATACTGACACTTCCTTCACTTCAGCCAACGACGGATATATGCGGCCGATGGACAGATCTTCTTCGCTTACATAATTAGCTAAAGTCTGGAAAAAACATTTAGATCTATTATTTTAGCTGTTTTAAGTGTATGAACAATTCAAAGATCCATAAAACTTTTCACAACCTCAGTAACATTGTAAACGTGAAAATACATCTTTATATATTTTTATAAATTAAAATTAGCGACCTTACGGTAATACTTCACATATGGACATATACATTTCGCTGGTTATATTTGAAGTGGCAGAGGTAAGCGTGCCTACCGCCTTCTAGCGAATTAGTTTAGTTTTCGGTGTTTACATAACCAGAGAATTAGTTAGAACAATAATTGAAATAAAAAATAAATTAATTTAATTTATATAGATAACGTACTCTCGCAGCAGTAAGGAACATAGTCTCAGGTATATGGTGCGTGGCTGTGGCAATCACACCAAGGGCGACACCAGGAAAGATGTACGAATTGTTGCCTTGCCCTGTGTGATACTCCTTGCCATTGTATATAACCGGTGGGAAAGGAGAACCAGACGCGAATACACAACGACCCTGTAACAAGTGTTCAAATAATAATAGAGTAACAATTTGTTAAATAATTATTAATAGTTAATTATTTTAGTGAAATCTCTGTGGAAACTGGTGGAAAGTAAAAACTACCTTTACACATAAAGAAAAGTATTTCACACAAAAAGAGATGTAAATTCTCCATACAAAATATAAGAACCATTTTTTTAAATATCATAAAAATTATCATTAAAGAGATCTAACAAAATGTATGTTTGTATTATCGAAACTAACACAATAACGTAACATGTGTAAAGTAAATACAATATTCTAAAAAATTGAAAGAAAATGTACTGAAACTGTAATGTAATGTAGTGTTATATGCATACCAGGCAACTTTTGTATGGTAATCAGTATTTATTTAATTCGGATACTCATCCATACTGCGTTAGTAAATAACTTATAAACTATTAACAGCCTTGGTGGTGTAGCGGTGTATCACATCCCCTTACTAGTGATCGCGGATCGATTTCTACGGTACAACTATTTATATTAATGAGTATGATTATTTGTATCGGTCTGGGTGTTTTCTATGTATTTTATGTAATACTATCTATGTAAAACATATTGGTTAATGAAATAAAAATTTATTATTATTTACATATGTATTACAAAATGTATCTAAGTATGTATTTATATTAGTTGTAGTCTAGTGCTGCTGTGTGAATTATCCTGCGATATTATTATTATTATTGTTAGTAAAGTATAAAATAAAATATTAGGAAGAAGAGATTGCCTGCTGATCACCTTGCTAGCAAAGAGTATAAACTTAAACATACCTCTGTATGATCGTATGCATCTTGAGCAGTACACTCGGCTTTGCTTGTTGGATTAGAGAGAGCAAAAATAACCGGCCGCTCTGTATTTTGCGCCATTTGCTTCAGAACATTTGTGGTGAAAGCGCCACCCACAGTGGAACAACCTGTAATAAATAAATTATGAATTTAGAAAAATAATATAAATACTAACATGAAATAAAGACATCATCAAATGCATGACTATGAGGCAAATCTGTATAATTTTAAATTAATTGGACCAGCATAACAGGGATATAATAGAGGCCTCTGTTCCTCCTCTATTCCAAATACAACCCATTTTTTACATAATTTTCACAAATTATTCTAATGCAGTTGCTCACAGTTGGATTTTATAGCTGCACCAGACGTAAATGTCGATGAAATCATTTCAAACACGACAGCCTCAGCCGGTCAAGGCGTTTAGCAAATCATTTTAGTTTACTTGTCTCAATTTGACGCACGATGGCATCATTTGTATTCGAGAGTATGATTGTTTGCATTGGTCTGGATGTTTTCTATGTGTATTTTATATGTATAGAAGTATTTCTATCACTTGTTTAGGACTCATAACACAAACTCCGCTTTGCTTTGATTAAAAAACCGCGGAAGGATTTACACTTTAGGCTGAGGACAGACATCGTAACGTCGACCCGAGTTGGTATGAGACAAGGGATCAATCGGGAGAGATACAACCTGTATATCAAATTTGATGTTGATTAATTTAGCCGTCGAAGCATCAAGAAATACCAAACAAATTGAGAAAATACTATAAATAAATATTAATATTCTACTCACCAATAAGACAGCTTGGTTTTATCTTGGCGACGCACTTTTCAAAATCCTTCTCCGGCTCGATGTCCTTACCGAAGTTCTTCGCGTGTTCAGGCACACCACCCTCACGGCGTGTCGACAGTAATCCGTCCACATCAAACATGTAAACCCGGTCCCGAGCTTGCCTCACGGAGAGACCCTCGGCCACCATAGCTGCCACTGTTAGATTGGCAATACCGTTGGAAGCCTGCCAAAGTCATATACATAATAATATAATCACAATATTTAATAGTCATTAAGAGATCATAATTATTAAGTGTTTTCTACCAAAAGATTTTTATTATTCACTGAAATTAAACCAAATTAACTAAATTGGAGTTATGCATCACTTGGGTTTAAAAATAACCTTTAATAGAATATGAGCATGATAACATGACTTAGACACAGACAACCCATCTATGTTGGGATAAAATTTGTGACGGTATAATATTATATATACTATACTACTACTATATTTATACTATACTACTATTATATTTATACTATACTATTTACTTTTATAATCTATGTTCTAAGAAATATATTCCATTTCATGTAATTGTTTAATCACCTAATCTAAGTTTTTCAGGTGCTCAACATAGTGAAAAAGGGAATGGTAAGAGTTCTAGTACGAGAAACACTTAAGTCATCGAATTACATCAAACACACCACATCGACGATTATTAACTAGACATAGAAGTCATGCATGTTTTATTTTAACCTGTGAAAAGCGGTAGAATATATAAGTACATTTATAAGAGGAAACTACACAACTTAGCAGTAGTTAGACAAATAGCAGATAATTTTATATATTATAATATTACTCACAGAACCAGCACCGAGGAACAAGTATATATTTTCGCTGAGTTTCCTCTTGGTGACTCTGACAGCTGCCATCAGTCCTGCCACGGCCACACTGGCCGTACCCTGGATGTCGTCGTTGAAAGTGCAATATCTATTGCGATACTTGACCAAAAGGCGCCCAGCATTCGCTAAAGCGAAGTCTTCAAACTGAAAATTAAATTAAATAATAATTCATATTTATTTTTTATATTTCATTTTTATATTTCATTAATAAATTATAATTGTATTACTACAAAATATTGTGTTTATCTTTATTTGACATCTGACAATATACTCGACTCGACAATGGCTCGTTCTATTATTTTTTAAACGACAAACTAAGTAATCACAATTCATTAATAAAAATTGCATACTTAACCAAATTAAACTATATATGACATTAAATGTAGATGAAACGCCAGAAACTAGTTCCAATTAAATACATCCAACTATATAAACAATTCAGTTTTCGAAACTAATTCCAATTAAATAAAATACGATACAAATTGATAATATTACCCTATAAATAAATATAAATATACCCCATAAGTAAAAGAGAGTATGAAATTATATAATATAGAAAATTATAGTATAAACACAACTGACATATTCAGTAACTTACTGAATAATTACTAATGTAGGGAATTACTTTCGTAGTATTTTGAAACACAACACAATTATGGAAACTATGGGAAATGTAAGTTAAAGATAACAAAAGAATGATATAATATCATATATACAATTATCATCAAATAGATCATACAGTGTGTTTCAGTAATATCTCATTAGTTATTACTTTTATTTCCATTTATGAATATTCAATTCTTAAAACAATATTTGAAGTTTTCCGCTGCTATTTCAAAACATATTGTCGGTTAATTCATTAGATATACAAGTTACATTTCGCTTGAAAATGAGACGCTTCGTTAAATGAGTATTGCGAAAGATGGACATCATTATCACAACAATAAATTTTCATATGAGTTTTCGTACTACTCAAAATAATGAAATAATTAGACAAAATGAAGAGAAATAAATATAACAAAACGGCACAAATTACGGAGACCATATTACGTTTATATGTATAACAATGATTTATTGGTGTAGGTAAATAAATTGCCATGACTATCTGTATTTACACAGTCAACCTATGCATATCAGTGTACGACGCTATATTGACACTTATGTTGTTATCCTATAATAATCTAACACTTGTGAACACTTAAACGCCGCCGTAGATATGATTGCGTAGATACGCCAGACACTTATTATAAAGATCTAACATTTGTTTGTTTAGACATGGAAGTAATTACCGGAACTGCTGCACGGACACTAAAAATTATTTTGATGATGAGCTTAGGATGTAATTATCCACGGAAATTCAAATTTATAATGGAGATAAACACAGTTTATTTACGGATAAACTATCTCTGCATACATTCATTGCTCATGCCAACCAATAAACACAAAATTAACAATCCAATCATTTGAAACTTATTACTATTAACTATTACCCACCCAAGGCAATGCAAGTGTATAATATATATATAAATACTTCCTAATTTATTATATTTATATCGTTCTGTCTGTATTAAAAATTGATTAATATATAATAGTAATACACAATTTACTCTGAAACAAGAAAATAGTAGCTGTGTAGTGTTATTGAGTAGACAACAGAAATCTAAACATACAAACGAACATCTATCCACAATTTCACAGATATTAGTATGATTGTATTGACTCGTAACATCTTAATTACCCAATTTGACAAAAAATATTTTAACAATTGAACTAAAATACAAGAAAACTACTATTATAGTATCTTTATAAAACAACACAATGAATAAATACACAAATAAAAATAAAATTAGTTAAGCTTTTATACTACAAAAGTAAAGAATTTAGTCTAAGAATAGATTCTTCTTTATGAAATGACTCTTTTTTTTACGATATCATCATATAGACCAAATAAACGTTTAAGTTGAATCCAAAGACACAATATTGATTAAAATAGCTTAACAAAATATAAATATAACTTTATCTACCCCAATTAGTTAAAAATCATTGCAAATCATATAAAATATTAGTGGTCATTAAGCGATAAATTCCCATAATAATCAATAAAAGATAATCTACTTAAATTTTAAGTAATAAATTTATTATTCGACGATTATTCTGAGATTTACTTTATCTAGTAAAAGATATTGTTGACTGATTGTTGGAATTTATCGCCTTATCGATAAACCACGTCAACAACACGTCAGCCTCTAACAACAAACAGAAGTTAATTAAACGACTATCGAATGTTTTCTTTAAAATATCTAAAACAAGTAAGAAATATTTATTTTTTTAGAAAAAGAAAGTACTTTCCTTAAGCAAGCAAACAAAAATATTTATCTATGTTTGTACTAAAATTACTTTGCGTTGAGAATATTATCTACAAATCAATCAGATCATCAAAACATGTAATGGTATACGAAAACCTCTCAAAATAAATTAATTGAATCATAAGAATGTGTATTACTAATGTTTTATAGATCTGCACGTGTACGGATGAAACCTACTATATCAGGCATTTACAATATGATGTACGTAAACAACTAAAAATAACTTACTTGAAGCAGTGTATTTTGGCCATATCTTCGCACACAGGCTTCCATGAATTCATCAATAAACTCATCATATTCCTGTCCACGTACACGCTTCTGCCGCAAGCCGATGTACAAAGGGTCCTCTAATAGGTCCTATAAAATAAACCATATTACGTTGCATTAGAATACACTTTGGGAACTCTATATTTTAGTGCTACAATGACAGTGACCTAGTGTTGACAGGATAAACTAAATTACGTATACGGGTGACAGAGACATACTAAATTACATAACAAACATCATACACGTATATTCCCGTAAGGGGATAGTTATGAGTGACAATTTTGCATCAATAATAATTAACTGTTTCTTGCAATTTTTATTATTCAAGTTTCTAATTGTCAGCTGCTAAGGATAGTATTGATAAGGATTATCACATTACTAATAATAATATAATAATTATATCAACAATGAATGATAAGACAGATTAATATCAGCAATACATGTCGTTATCTGATATAAAGAGATCGACTTAATTACATAACATTTTAGATTGTTGCTGTGCGTCATATCTGATTTAATTTATTCCTAAAACAAAATATTGGACAGTATAATTCGGATAGATCGATAGATAATGCTAATAATAAGTAAAAAGTGCCATATATAACTCGTATATAGACGCGTAATATAGTTCTATAACAAAATTTCCGAGAAGGAGTATCTTCGCTTACACGGATCGATAGCCGTGACATTGTCTACGAGAAATATTTAATGGCGTCACTATATGGCATCCGGCTTCAAACATTCGTAATTAGTAAAGATTTATCATCCATATTATAATTATCAAAAAACACAATGTCTCATTCGATTTTTGAACATAAATTATAAATTTCTAATATTATACTATTGTGACACTAAATTATTTCAATTCCAAATCGCTAAAATTCCGCTTGTTATATTCTGATTCATATAACCTTATAAATAATAAGTATAATAGGTAACTTTACCTGGTTATCAGTGCCAACATCTAACGTTATAGGTAAACATTGATGCGGTTTAATTCCAGCGAGTGCAGTGTACAACGACAACTTGCCGACCGGTATACCCATGCCGTAAGCGCCCAGATCACCGAGACCCAAAATACGCTCACCGTCCGTGAACACTATCGCTCTGACATCTGGTTCGGGCCTAAAAGTGACGTCATTATTATTTTTGGATGTATTATAAAATGTACCTCGTTAGATGAGTAATTGAAATTTTATATTTCGAAGGATCTTTTTGTGATATTCCCTTAATTATTGCCGTAGATTTATTATTAATGCACCAATAGGATTCAGACGAGCGTTGCACCAATAGGAGCGTCAATCCTATTGGTGCAATTAAAGTTCAAAATATTAGAATTAAGTCAAAGTACTAGGATAACGATAGACACTAAGTTTATCTGTAAAAAATACTATAATAGTAAATTGCACTGTTTAACACGACAACGCAGTGTATATTCTAATATACAAATTCAAAAATGTTTTGGCTATATAATAGTCATACAAAACTACACTCTGAACCTATTAGCTATAAATTTTCTCAATGGCAAGAATAAACTGCGCCAAAAAATTATTCTATTACATAAAACGTACAGTCTCTGACTGCGTGGAAAAATTCACAGTACGAATAGATTATTAATAGTAGCATGAAATTAAAATAGTTACCAATTCTTCAGAATATTGAAAATGTGTCCTTTATCTTTGATAGTGATGAATAGACCCCTAGGTCTTCTGTAAATGAGACCGAACCTCTGGCAGGCCAATCCCACGGTCGGGGTGTATACAATTGGTAGATACTTTTCCACATTCTCAGCAAGAAGTCGGAAGAACAACTTCTCATTTCTGTCCTGCAATAATTCAATGGCGCTACAAATAACATCTGAGATCACTGTTTCCAATAATATATAATAATGTGTTATTACAATGTAAGCAACTCATGACAGATGTAAATTCTATACACCCTATGAATGATAGAATTTCTTTAGGACAGAAATTAATGGCATCTTTAGGTATCATAGTATATCACTATAAGGATATGTGGCAAGCACGCTACTCAACCGACAGGCAATTAGACTATTTTCGCTCTGGTCGCTACTTGGTCCTACCAAGAATCGAACTTGGGACGAAAAAAGCAAAATATCCTCCTCTGCATATAACACGTTAAAAAGATATGCGTGTAAACTTCATTTACTTGAACCAACTATAGAACCTAGAACTTTAGTGTTTAGTCGTAGTGTAGTTTATGCAAACAAATTATTCATTGATGTATTACTTTCATAAATAGGGAAAATTAAGTAGACCAATTGAATAAATTGCTCCCCATGATCATAGTATTAACTTTTATGTTTACCTACGACCTTGCGTGTGTTAATACCTTAATGGATAGATTCCAGGTTTAATCGAATCCATAACCACCATGCTATTAAAATAACACCACTCCTTAATTTCAATAGAGGTAACCATTCTTTGAGTATTGGAATAAATCACACAAGAACATTAGTACTTTCTTAGCTATTAATTTCAATTTACGTATGTCCAAAAAACTACGAGTGAAAATAATTGAAAAATCATATATCTGATAGTTCATTCCATTCAGTTTACAACTAAAGATCCGTTCGATTCGAAAATTTAAGAGAATTAATTGTTCATAATGCATTTAATAAGCATTTTATTTACACAACTTCATTCCGTTATTACAGCAGTAAGTGCAAGTGACAGTTCAGTGTTTATATTAAAACATTGTGTGGTCTTTATAATTCTATTAACAGAAATAGTGCAAAAATAGTTACAACATTACCTTGAACTCGTCTCGGGCGGTGTATATTTTGTATTTTAATTACCACGCTTACCTTGGTTTATAAATTGTTCCTCGTATCTTATTCATAAAAACGTGAAACGTATAAAAAGCTATATTAGACCTTTGTGTCTCTTTCTCTCAAGACAAATTCTCTATTTGTAAAAAAAAGAACAATAGCAATTATAATAAAGTACTTTAAAAAAAATACGACTTCACTACACATGACGACACACGACACTAGGTATATGTTCTTGCTAATTTAATACTCGATGTAATCATTTTCGCTTTCCGGTCCCATTTAAAGTTTAAATATTTAAACCCATCTTTATAGAGATCTACTGCCACCCCGCGATCTACCACCGTGTTATTTAATAATTCGATTGTTAAAGGTGTTTTCCATCACCATAGAATTTATTAAAATTTATGTCCAATATTATAATCGAATCGATTAATTTATTGTTGGCAGTTTCACGTTTTTATAAATATCACGGTAAATGTCTATCTATATAAGGGTAATAGAGAAAGAGATAATTTTTAGTCCAAACTTAATTTAGAATATATAAATCAGATCAGTTAGGTATATGCTACTTCTTGGGATATCATTAAAGCCGAGTTTCTCCACAAAGAAAAACTACATTTTAAGTAGTAACAGTTTGCACTGAATACTTTAGACATAAGTATTAAGAGAAAAACGACATCAAAGACTTCAAATATCATCATTATTATTAAATAATGATTTATTATATCATACAATTAAATGTCAACTTTCCATAATGGAACTTGTAAGTAAATAAAACCTAACAAAAACAAATTAAAATAATGTAATCCTGACGATATACTCTGTAATAAATGAAATACCCTAATATAAAATGTCCCCTCACTACTCCTTTTCATCTCTAAAATGTCATAAGAGACAGCTAGAAGGAATCAGTGTATGAAGCCAATAAATCTTATACCAAGGTCATTTCTGGTCACCGTGGTAACAGTTGGCTAATTCCTCTACATAAGTAGAGACCAGTAATAAGATATATATAGTATTATCATCTCACCTCTCCAAGGCAAGGCCTGAAAGAAACTATTACTTCTCTTTCTCATCTTTACCCTTATAATAGCGATAAATAAATATACACAACAAACCATATCAGAATGTTAGCTTTTCCTTATCCGAGCCCAACATAAATATTAATAATCACAAAATCATAAAATCAATGGTACCTTTATCTTTTTTAGTCACCTGTAACTCGACGAGGTAGAGATATTTATTGAGGTTGTCCGCATATCTATCGATGGATATACTGCAGATATCCAGCTGTTCCTCCTGAGTTTTGAACTTGGCAGCTAAGAGGCCATGAATTCCGAGGGCTTGTCGTTCTTCCAATGTGAACGCTAGACCCTAAAAATATATATAATTTTAATTATCCTAATTCATACATGAATAAATTCCTATTCCAAATATTTCATGCATTATAATTAGAGAACTTTTAAATTTCATTTAAAACATTAACAAGAAATAGACAAAATTTTACTTGTTAATCATTCAGTAATTAATTTAAAGAAAACATTATAACATCAGTATTTATTAGTATTCTTCTTATTATTATTCGATACGTTCTCCACAGCGGTCTGGTCTTACCGCTGCTTTGACTTGGTCACACAAGGAAATACGCTAAAGGAAAAGTAGAACTATTTCACTATACCTTATTATATGAAAATAATAAAGATCCTTTTGTCTACATACTGATTTTAATAACACAATATCAAAATAAATCATACAAAAGGGGAAACAATTTTGAATACCCTTTGATACAATATATATAGTACGTGATATATACGTACATAAATCAAACCATTCCCTGTTATATTTTCTAAGATAATAGAGACATATATGATTATTCACCTTGTTCAATCTAGGATCCCGGAGATTATCGATGCCTCTAACCACGTTCGGGCAGATTATATTGCCGGTGACCTCGTGGTACTCTCGGCATTGCAGATTAGGGTTCTCCAGGAACGGACATTTGGTCAGTGCAAACGCTAACGCCCTGTTCGGGACTATGACGTTTGTACAACATCTGAAACAAAACAAAGACAAATTTTTATTCCTATGTAGTAACCTAAATTTATTATACGACCCTGTTTATTTCATAGTATAGAGAGCAGATGAGATTGCACCATACTTGGTAGGTCATTATTTCCGACCATAAACATAAGCAAAAACAGGGGAATCGTAAATTTGTGTATTGCCAAATTTTTGGAAAGTAACTGGAGTATTTTAGGCAATAAGGATTAATAAAGGGAGAGAAAGGTGTAAAAATACAATTTCGAATAAGTCCTATATATTTAGCCTAATATTCCCTTTAATACAATTTCGAATAAAATCCTATATACCTATTTAGCCTAATATTCCCTTTGTTTGTAATTTCCTTTTTCTTTTACAAAATTCCGATGAAGAAAAGCAGTAGTTTGTAAGAAGGCAAATAAATACTATGAAATTTAAATGTAATGGGATTAACTTAATCGTTTGAGTTCGAATGAACCGCTACTCGCAAACAAATTAGATTACAAAAGACGTGCCCATTAGATAACGAGAGCCATGAGAATACAGCTGAGTTATTCGTAATGTTCTGAAAATTTGGCTTGTGATACTATTTCGTGACTGTTAAATATTATTGTACCTTGTCCTTCGTAACGTAACATTTGGCGTCGCTTACGGAGGTGTGATTTTACGTCGAGTGTCGTCGAGAGAAGGTTCATATTGCTTGATAAGACTTTTAAAGACAATCTCGGTCAATATTATTTCTCGATTACTGAAGAAAACTGTATATTACATTACCTCATTATTCACGGCACAACGCATGGAAACAGTACGCCCTAGCCTTTAATTACAGTCGTATACAGTAACACGTTGGGCTTACAAATTATGTATTGTGTTATTGACGCCATTTGGAGTATCGTAAAGAATAATAAAAGCCAGTCATTTCGTGGCCGCAGATTTGAATTATATTGAATCAGACACATTTTGATGATCATACCCTTTCAATTAAAATTTGTATAACGATATGGATATTAACTAACCAAATAACAAGGTTATGATAAATAAATCGACCGCCGGATTATTCTTCCACCAGCACAGGTAGCTAAAAGCTTGTAATATATTAATGGAAGTAACCATATCCGTATGCACATATTATTCACCTCCTATTAGGAAATCTTCAATAGGTCTAAATCCGTACGGTATAGGTAAAGACAATTTTTCTTAGTTTCTGTGTACAGCCACAATGACACTACAATGTTTAGGTAACTGATGGAATACTTGTTCGAAAATTATTTTGTAAATAAATGAGTAAATGTTGCAAATATATACATTAAACTTAGAGCACCGGCGCAAATTTCGCAAAATAAAATTAGTTAAAAACAAGCACAAATATATAAATAAAAATAGAGGCAAATCTTTATCTGGACTTGTAGGTTTTCTCTGCAAGACTTTATCCGGCATGACTCTATGGATTTCCTTGACTACAGGAAAATTACAAGGGTAAAATCCACAATACAAATTATGGTCTTAGTAGCCAACTTTTCCTTTATTTCATTTGCATAAATGAGCGTCATGATATTGTTTTTCTTATTTGTCTTTATTTGCCACTGTCAGACTTTTATTACAGAAACAATTTCCTAAAATTACAAAACATTTACTATTTATTTATTTTTGACAATCATTATTATACTAACGAATCTTTATGTCAACTATCTCTCTGCCAATATCATAAGCCTAGCCTTGATAACTGTGAAAAATAAACAATCATTTATATATTCAGTCTTATTATGACATTTATATATTATAAGTAAGTGTTACGTATACAATTTACAACCTTCTTTAATCAGTTCAAAGGCATCTATGTAGAAATAATGTGATAACAGAAGAGCATCAACTTAACAATGGAAATCCAATATTGACGGCGGAAGGAAGATAATACACAATGCAGTGTCATATGTACTGTAACAGAGCAGCCTTGCATGTTCAACATTGCCAATCATGAAACAAAATAACACAGAAGTAGCATCAATTAACATTCGCCGTGACCAGCCATTCCATTTTCCATTTTATGACTACAGTATTATGTCATTAACTAGTTTTAGCATGGAACACGGATTATACGAGACGAGAAATCTCGATTCAGGGCTTTGTTGTACAGTACAGTAACGTGCATGTTTAAAATACTATACTTTGTAATAGTAATATTATTGACAATTGTTAACCATTACTTTAATAGAGTATTATGGTGACGACACGAAAATTGTTTACATTTTTGTGTTGGATACTGTACATACTTTGCCGTCATTCGATAGTTAGCACCTATTCACGTGACAAGGTATTTATTGTAAGATATAAGTATCGTATATCGTATATAAGGACCTATGTAATATAAGAAGGTTTGTAGGCAAGTGCTTGTATACGTCATCATTAATGTTAATAAAATAGTTATACATTACGTACACTGTTGTTGCAATAAGAGAATACAGAGAGAAACCGCCCATCTTTATGGAATATATTCTCGCGATTCGTATGCAATAAATTTTCCGAAAGTCTTATATTCCTTACAGTAGCTTACAACTACAATTATGAAAGGCAGAGTCATTTACATAGATATTTATCTCAAACAAAAACACTTTTTCTCCGTTTTCGTAATATCACTGCTGTTGTACACTAAAAATACCATTACGTCTTCACGTATATAAATTACTGTATTCCAAAAATAACCAATCATGTGACTTCTTACCAGTCCACTCGTGACATTGGAAGGACGCAACACCATTTGTGTTTAAGAATTTTAAATGAAGCACAAATACTCAATTATCCGTATTAATTTTTGGTTATTCTTTACCTAATCTACATCAAGACCCCGTCTAGTTTTCTGCCTGGTATACCTATTATGTGTTTTCATGATTAACCTTGGAAAAAAAACTGCACACTGATTTTATATCTATACAAATAATATAACTACGAAAGTATATATGCTGCCTGATACGCAACATGCCGGCTATGAAAACATAGCCTCTCTCACTAAATAATGTAAAAGGAGGTAAAACGGAAATTGAATTTGAATGGGGACTCAATCTTACTTTATGTAAGGAACATAAAACTCATCATGAAAAATATACTACTCTAACGAAAAGCCAAAATGTAAGAAGACGAAGTCGCGATCATCAGTTAGTAGACAATATATTAAGAAACTTCTAAATACAGTTGGTCATTAAGAGAAACCAACTAAAGGTACTCTGATACATATTACTTACATTTATAAAAAAATACACTAGTACATTGTTGTAAATTTATGATGCAATAGGTACAGAATATAAAATCTAGAAGGCTAGTAACAAATTACCGAAGTATGACAAAATCACGAGTCAATGGCAGGACTTTCTTATACTAAGACGCGTCTAGTTTATACAAGGTTAAACTTATAATGGTAGAGTCAATGTACGGAACAAACGGTAAAGTAGGTGGTATCATAGACCGTGAACTTGGTAATGAATGTACTTAATAATGGATATACTAGTTCATAACAGACAGAATCGCAGGTACTTAGTTATTTCAGAATAACAATTTGTCTACTACCATATCGACATAGTTTTAAAAATTCATTATACATGTATTTTGCGTACTTAATTTACACTACTGAAGTACGAATTACCGGGATCACCGTCTTAGTTAATGGAACCAAGGGAATTGCTTATTAAGTTATGCTTCGGGTTATATTTATTTATATATAGTGTGAGATATAGTTGTGAAAATACAGGGTAAGGAGCCATGACACAGTAATCCTCCGGAACACATTGGGGATACACCTTCAAATTGCGACTCCTTTGGTCCCGTTCCTGTATGTAGGCGACAGTTGTTTTCATCAGTCAGTCTTTCCGTCAGGTGGTCCGTCAATTTATTTGTCATTGCAGTTACATTAAAACAATAAACAGGGGCCATATAATTCTAGTTATTCATCGATAGCCGAAGTATTCTTACAAACCTATCTAAATCATACGTGGTATAATGTAAACAAACAATCCATAACTTCACGTACAGACCATTTGTTGTTGTTGCAGCTACAGCTGTTGTTGACTAAAAATAAGAAAATATCGATCAATTACAAGTCTGAATCACTCACTTCGTATGGTATAATCAGTAATAATCACAGATCATAGTGATACAGCGTGATAACGATGTTTTTTAACATCTATAAAACTTTAGTACCTAGTTTAAAAATAAAGTTATACTAATCAATTTAAAAATTACAAGCTGAATGTGTTAAACAATATCCTCATCGATATTGTACGAATTTCATTACGATTTTATTTATAATCGATAAGATAGGAGTAGCTTTACTTGTGAAAGAAATCTTATAGAAATTCATTTCTAAAATATAAAATTAATTACTAGCTAATTGGTTGTGTTATAAAAACATAGACCTAAATAATATAATTGTTAGTTCTGTACGCTTATAATATTTTAAGGTACATTCAGGGCATCGTTGCCAACTCTCAATGGTACAGCCTATAAATAGCTAACATTGCATTATTTTTTGCCACATAGCTTTAACAGTGTCACCGTGGAAGCGCCTCTTGGTTCTTCGGATCACTGTCTTATTCGATCCCAAGTACAGTGCACACAACCTGCCACACACCGAACACCTGGTCGACGTCGCATGTGGCATTATAAGTCAGCAGATTGGGACAGATTGCGAGAATTTTACGCATCGTACCCATGGAAGCAGCACTGCTTTGCATCAGAAGACGTCGATACCTGTACAGCCGCCGTTACTGAAGTCATACTTGCGGGTATGGAATGTTTCATTCCAAATCTGCTTGTTGCTTCAGGGGCGAAAAAGCGACCGTGGTTTAATAGGTCATGCAGAGAAGCCAGACAGGCTAAAGAATCTGCTTATCAGGCTTGGACCACGGCTCGTTCCAACAGGGATGTTGGCGTATCTGTTGCGAGGCGGAATTTAAATGCTGCGTCCAGGTTTAGTAAAAGAGTAATTGCTAGAGCCAAATTCGACTTCGTCAGCAAAATTGGGGAGCGATTAGCCCGTCATCCTTCTGGAAGTCGAGCCTTTTGGTCCCTTGCTAAGGCTGCCGAAGGTAACTTTAGTCAGTCATCCTTACCATCACTACGGAAGCCGGATGATAACTTGGCACATAGTGCAAAAGAGAAGGCCGATTTGTTGTGCGCTCTTTTTGCCTCAAATTCGACTTTAGACGCTGGGAACACCATACCTACTACCATCCCATGGTGTGGTAACTCTATGCCGGAAATATCCGTAACACAACGGAGTGTCCGGCGAGAGTTGCTGTCTCTCGACGTCAACAAGTCGAACGGGCCAGACGGCATACCGGCTTTGGTGCTAAAGAAGATTTGTGTCCCGTACTCACGCGCCTCTTCGCGCTTTCATACTCCTCTGGGCAATTTCCGTCGTCATGGAAGGCCACCCCTGTGCACCCTGTGCCAAAAAAGGGCGACAGGTCAAACCCATCGAACTACAGGCCTATCGCTATCGCATCTTTGCTCTCCAAGGTGATGGAGCGTGTAATTAATACACAGCTCCTCAGATACCTAGAAGATTACGATTTATTGAGCGATCGTCAATATGGCTTTCGCCATAATCGCTCAACTGGTGATCTTTTAGTGTATCTCACACACCGCTGGGCTCTTGCCATCGAGAGCAAGGGTGAGGCGTTGGCAGTCAGCCTTGATATGGCGAAGGCATTCGATCGGGTTTGGCATCAAGGTCTCCTATCGAAATTGCCCTCATACGGAATACCAGAGGGATTATGCAAATGGGTCGCTAGTTTTTTGTCTAGCAGATGCATCAAAACCGTGGTCGACGGTAGTTGCTCCAATAGCATGGACATTAACGCTGGCGTCCCGCAAGGCTCTGTTCTCTCCCCGACACTGTTTTTGCTGCATATTAATGATTTGTTAACTACGGTTGACATTCATTGCTATGCGGATGACAGTACTGGGGACGCGTCTTACACGGGCCGTGCGAACATCCCTCTTTCCGTTGTGGAGTCAAAGCGCGAACAGCTTGTGTCTGAAATCGAGAGTACTCTCACCAGAGTCTCCGATTGGGGGCGATTGAACTTAGTTCAATTCAACCCTACCAAGACACAAGCCTGCGCGTTCACCGCTAAGAAAACCCCTTTTGCTGTGGCTCCGCAATTCCAGAACACGTCCATTACCATCTCTAAGAGCATTGGGATTCTCGGTGTCGACATCTCTAGCACAGTTGAGTTCCGTAGTCATCTCGAAGAAAAGGTCAAGCTGGCGTCCAAGAAGCTCGGTGTGCTGAATAGAGCGAGGCGGTACTTCACTGCGAACCAGAGACTTCTATTGTATAAGTCGCAAGTTCGGCCGCACATGGAGTACTGCTCTCATCTTTGGGCAGGAGCACCTGGATACCAGCTCGGTCCTTTTGACTCGGTTCAGAGACGTGCTATGAGAATTGTCGATGATCCTAATCTCTCTAACGGTATCGAACCACTTAGCTTGAGGCGAGACTTCGCATCGCTTTGTGTGTTCTACCGAATATACAATGGACTGTGTTCTGATGAATTGTTTGACATGATGCCTACGGCTACCTTTTACCATCGCACCGCTCGCCATCGACAGGGAATTCATCCCCACACGCTGGAACCTAAGTGGTCTCGTACAGTGCGGTTTCAGAGGAGCTTCCTCTCGCGTACACTTAGATTGTGGAATGAACTACCTGCCGAGGTTTTCTCGAGAGACTACAGCATGGGGGTTTTCAAGAAGGGTATATTAAGGTTTCTTAAGGGTCGGCAACGCGCATGTGACACCCCTGGTGTTTCAGGCGTCCATAGGCTACGGTAGCCGTTTACCATCAGATGGGCCGTATGCTTGTTTGCCACCTAAGTGGTATAAAAAAAAAAAAAAAAAAAAAACAGTAGACTGAACTATTTATTTAAAATATATAGAATTGTCATTCACAATACTGTAACAAGACATTACAATGTGTTAACAACATATCTGTATGTATGTACCATATATGTATTCCCTCTATGATGCATCAATATAAGTTGCTCATAACTATTGGCTGCAAATGGCAATATCTAATAATTTTACTGTCTCTTACTCATTCTGTGTGCAAATAGGCCAGCTCATTGTGGTTTTTACATAAGTAAATAAATACCTTTATACTTACCTTGCTTGGGTAAAAACTATAAAAAGTATTTAATTATATACTACACCTACAATTTTTATGATTACAAGTATATATATAAATTGTCTGTATCAAACTATACATATACTTAAAATACTTTAATCATAAAGCATAATTCATGTTATTGTTACTATAGATATCTGTATCTATAGTATAAGAAATTGAAGGTCAATCATATTTATACTGTTTTTAATTAAGAACCTCATTCTTAATAATAAAAGGAAGAAACAAGTTTTGTACATACTTTGGTTAATAAGAAATGTGAACAAAAATCAAACATTTCATTTGACATTTTTACCTTACCACTTTGATAAAGTATATTGAGGAATTAAAATGTAAGAAAATATAAGTCTTTGAAATTTTATAGCCTATTCAATTGTTCTGTGTTAATATAGACATAAAACAAAGCATTTAACTACTAAGTAAGTTAATTCAAGGTAGCATTATTCTATGATTAACAACAGTACCATTACTGGATCCACTTTTTAAATTATCATGCAATTTAGTTTGCATTTTGTGAAATATAGTATGTATAGTGTGAAATATGAAAAGTGATGTTGCTACTAGTCACTAATTAATTAGTTAATTAATTATTATTTAGTGCCACTGCACCAGCATATTAGTGCCATGAAAAAAAATTAACATAGTTTCAATAGCCTATATATACAATAATCACATAAAATGAAATTATAATAATTAAAGTTGTGGTATATTATTTCAATTAATATCACACAGTCTGATTGTCTTTATTTCATATATTTAGACTATGCCTATCTTTTATCAAAATTATTTGTTTATAAACAAGACAGACAGAAGAACAATAAATACTAACAAATACAAATTATTATTTTATTTGTTAGTATCTATTGTTCTTATTTTACACTCACATTCATAAGAAAATATGTGAAAATTAATTAACAAATACTAATGTCAAATCAAATATATATATATATGTACATTATGTAATATAGAGATATCCATAGATAAAAAATCTACAAGAAGTTTGACAGAATATTTTATATAATCAATATTTAGTACTATCTCCAGTCTTGTGAAGTCAGATGAATTAAATGTTTTATTTGTCATCAAAGTGAAAAGAACTTTAAAAAAAATAATTGGGCTAATGATTTTCATTGATACCTATAAATTTATTGTCTAATTAATAATAAATACTTATTGTCTAATTAATTGATAGTTTGTCTTGTTTGTCAGGCTTCTAATACACAGCTGTCTGTAAGTCTATGAATCTGTATTTCTATGAAATCTTCAAACAAAATCACACAGGGCAATCAAGTGATGTCAAGTACTGTTGTTAGGAAATTACAGGTATTAGAATGTCAGGTAGTTCTTATCTAAACTATAATTATAATAAATGTAATGTAGAAGTCTACTAAATTGCAAATAATTGACTTAAAAATTATTACCCCTATGTCTACTTCTTTTATGATATATATTAATTAAAAGTAATTATATAAAATGTATAAGTAATACATATTTATTTTTAGTACTCTTGGTAATTTACTAATATCAGGTTTCTTAACTTAAAATTACAAATTAAATTTAGTTTTCGTTAGAATTTCCTTTACATCGTAAAAAAAAACTCAATGTAATATGTAACTAAACACATAGTATTACATAAATAATCACGAAAATTCAAATTCTAAAAACGGCGCAAATTAAACATAAGTAACTCAAAATCTCTCTCGGTGTAAATGCGAAACGGTACGACCCAGGTCTAACTACCGAAATATGGTAATATTATTTCTTGAGGATTCTAAAAAAGAATGTGCACACTTAAAATATACCTGTCAGGTAATAGGATTACAAAAATCATTTAAAACGCAAGATTACTATACTTTGAACGGCCTCATCAAATATTTCAAACAAGGTGTCGGGTGTTTTAAGGTAGGTAGGTACTCTTTCGAATATACTCTTCACTGTTTTAATTTAAGGTTATCGACGAATACGACAGTCTATTATTAATTAAAATAGCTCACGGTTTGTAGATCGTATATATAAAAAACAGCTGTCAAGTTATGTAAACCACGAAAATAAATAAACGGTACTTACAACAGAGATCGGGGAATTGTAGAAAACATTTCAAAAAAATATTTTCATCAATATTTTCGAACTGACAAACTCACAATATTTTTTCGTATTATTCAATTAGAATTTAATTATTTTCAATTTTATTAGTAACGCCCTCCATCCAGATGGCAGTGATGTGACTGATTGACTGATTCAAGAAGTACTTTTTGAATGATTCACAGAATTCAAATGTTGCCAGCTGTCTAAAGTTCAAAAATATTAGGCCAAATATCTTAAAGGAAATGTACATATTATATAAATATTATTTGATATGATTGAAATACATCTATTGTTTAATTTCTAAAAAACAATTAAGACTAAATTAAAAGTATTCGTCAAGCAATAAATCACTACGTCACACAAATGTATGAAAGAACCATACTTCAATATAGTGAAATTTCATGAGAAAATTGTTTTGGAATCAGTAGAGTACACACGATCTTGCCAATAACTAAATATACAAATACCACCGAAGAGCTATATAATCCAGAAACCCTTGCCTGCCTGTATGACGAATATCAATTGTAAAGCAACAATAACGTATTCAAATGTAAAAAAGAACAATAATACAGGTGCAGATTAAAAATAATATACTGTTATTTATACTCGTTAATCGTCGTTAATATATTCAATCGACGTTGTTGTAGTTTGTAGTATCAATATTTCGATAGTTTTCTATATCGGACGAGTACGTACGATGTCGAATATTTGTCAATATCAAATACTAACTACAAAACTTTAATTTTATATATAGGTACTTAATTGAAACGTGCACTATACGTAACTCTTAGGTTTTATCAATAGGACGTTTCTAGAAATATATCGAATAGAAAATATGTTGCCAAAAATCGAATCAATCCGAAGTATCGAATAATAATATTCGATACATCGATGTTAAGTGCATTTTGCTATTCTGATTCAATCAATATCGTTCAAAAGAAAAAGTACTGAAATATAAAAAAGTGTCCAAATATAATACTAGAATTTAAGTTCCGTTTATTTGTAAATTATGCCCTTACATCTATTTTCTTTCTATATATTTTAGTAACTAACTTTAGACATTCAATATAATAAAAAAATAATAAATAATCCAGACCCCCGAGGGCCGTGGATTGTTGCCGGGCCTCCAGAGTCGATGCCTGAATTCATTTTTTCATTTTTATTTATCCTTAAAGAAAAGGCAAAGAGTCTAAGTCCATAAAGCCGTCACGTAACGTTCATTCATTCAATTTCTGCCAATTTGACGTGAATGAATAAAGTGATTGACAATCATACTATGACATTGACAGTTCACAATACAATATAAAACATGCCATCAAAATCATTGATTCCGAAAGCATGAATTACTTTAACTTTATGTATAGCATTTTCACTACTTTACTTTCGTTTCAGACTTCAGTACGATAACTACTCTGTGTTTTCAGTATTAAACGCCGGTCCGTATTTTTTTAATAAATTCTTTAACTAATTGTTATTAAATTTATTAGATGTCATGATTCGAGAAGATGATCCTCAGTTCCGAATAACTCCGTTGCAGCAGATGGCATCAGCTTGCACTGGTGCCCTTATTACATCCTTATTCAGTAAGTTATACAGGTTACAAAAGACAGAACTTGTTTTTTTGTGTAATATTTAATATTAATGTTTTCGAAACGTGTAGTGACACCGTTGGATGTGGTGAAAATTAGACTGCAGGCTCAACAAAAAGCTCTACTCTCAAATAAATGTTATTTATATTGCAATGGACTAATGGAACATCTGTGCCCTTGTGGGGAAACTGCATGGATACCAAGACGAGTACACTTTAATGGTACAATGGTTTGTATCTTTTTTTAATTATCTACAATCATATAACTTTTAATAACTTATTTTATCAGAGTATTTTTTATTTTTCAGGATGCTTTTTACAAAATAGCTAAATTAGAAGGAGTTCCAGCATTATGGTCTGGTTTAAGTCCAACTCTTGTGTTGGCTGTTCCTTGTACAGTTATATATTTTGTATGCAATGAACAATTGAGGTATAATATGAAAACTAAATACAACAAGATCACTGGTGACAGTAAGTAATTGGTACTTTCTTATTAGGAGTACATTAATTAAAAAAACATTACTATATTGGGTTGATATTACAATTTTTATGAGTATGTTGTCAAAGAACTGGGAGTATGAACACCCACTATTATTTAATAAGTCTTGCTAAAACAACTATTAATATTTGTATCCAATCGAAATATTAATAAGCAACTTTGTGAAAAATATATATAAGTAAATATTTTCTTATTACTTAAATGCAACCATTTTACAAATATTAGGTATGGGGTGTATAATAAATTGCCCATATCTTTTAGATATGGGCAATTTAAAACATCATTACTAGAATACAAACATCAAATTACATGGATACAGTTGATTTCATAAAGATATATGGTGGCAATTGATAACCGAACTTGTCAATAATATGATACAATTATAAACACATTTGTCACCACTGTTATCATTAAATTATTGTAAACAACTAATAAAATATATACTTCTTTATTGATTATAAAGAAGTAGATATTTCATTAGTTGTATATAAAAAATAAGTGTTTATGTATGTACAAAGGCTTATTTAAAATGGTTTTTTTTTGCCACAAAACCAATACTGATCATTCTTAAAACTGCTTACCCATATGCTACCCCAGTGTTAGTGTGGTTTTGCCTCATGTTTAATTTTTCAAAAAGTCAATGTAAATTCTCAGACACAGGTGATTACTGTACAAATTAATAAAATATAGGTAATTTATCAACTTTATTATGATCAATAAAATAATTGATTTTAAGAAAATATTAATTATGATTATTATATATAGACTACAATGATTGGAATTGTTATACACTAGAATAATGTTCCAAAACATAGCTGCCACCTACACAATACTGTAAAAATAATCTCATATGTATAATCTCTTTGCATTGGGGGAAGCCCCTAATGGACAGAACCAGGGCAATATAAATTTATGATTCAGTGTTGTATTTTAGTAACTTTCAATACCTATTATTAATTCAAAATTTTAAACAGTTTTAGTTGTTGACCAATTAACAGAAAATATAAGAATTTTTTTGCAAGTAGGCTTGAAATAGGTTTCTGATTATCCTGATATTTTTTAGTTTATGATGTATGTTTTTGAATTGAAAACTTTGAAATAATTACACTTTAGAATTTTAATAACAATAGCATCAATACTTTTTAATGGTAACCCTGAATCTGATGAAACTTCTGAAGAAGTAATTGTCAATGATATACATGAACACCACTATGGAAACCATATTATCATATTAAACTTATAATGCCCCTCAAGTGTTCCCTTTTTAGAGGACTAAGATATCAGGCCATATTCCTTTTTGATTTTTATATTAATTTCAAACTTTATATCTCTACTGTTGTAGTGTCGCAACCACTCTGGATTCCACTAATAGCAGGAGCAACTGCCAGGACAACTGCAGTTACTATTGTTAGTCCTTTGGAATTAATAAGGACTAAAATGCAGTCAAAGAGGTTGTCATATGCAGGTATATCTCTATTAATCACTGATCACTTGAATATTAATGGAAAAGTTTTATAATGTACAGTTTAATGTTCATGCTTGTGTTTTAAGTTGACATTTGGTAAATTAGCCACAAAAAATATTAAAAAATGTGTTGTTTTATAATTTATTTGAAGATATTTGTTTTAAATTAAAATAATGTCCACAGTGATTAACAATTAAGACAAAACAAAAACCAACTTTGTACCGTTGTTCCTTTTACAAGCCTCTCTGTTCATGGATTACCTCAAAGATCCCTTTGTTGTTGATTTTGTTAAATTTGATCACTATTACATTTTTATTTTTATTTATAAAACATACATAATATTTACACTTTTGCTAATTTCACACAATCATATAATTTATACGAAAACAAATACCTTCATATTTTATTAGGGTTAATTATATATGTAATTTATTTATTCATTATTTATTTTATGCTGTTTTACTTTTTTTTTAGAAATTAAGTCTGCATTACTTCAAGTAATTAAATATGAAGGCTTTAAGGGACTGTTTCGTGGATTGGGATCTACCCTACTAAGAGACGTCCCCTTTTCAGGTACATCTTTCAAATTTTATTTAAGTACTAGTTAAATTTGTTAGTTAAGTTTCCTGAAATTTACTTTAATACTCCTGTCCCTCATATAAAAACAAATAATTCGAGGCTCATTCAAATTTGCTCATTGCGTATTTCGCACTGTTTAGGAACGGTGTTTCGTGATCTTTTATGATTAACATATACATTTGTTTTGTCGTTTAATGGTGATAATTAAAGCCAAAGCAGATTTTCTTAGTGTATTGAGTTCATTCCTTCTTTGACTTTATTTTCCTATAATGCATACTCAACTAATTCATTCAGAAATATATTGGATACTTGGATGTACTTACATACTTTTTATAAAGGTGTGGTTATATTACTTATAGGAATTTATTGGACAACATTAGAAACGACAAAAAGAACATTCAGCTCACCTGATACGGAGAAAAATATATTTTTATTTAATTTCTTTTGTGGATCTATTGCTGGCAGCGTAAGTGACTATAATAATTGATATTTACATTTATAAAGTAATAGTCTCCATTGAGTCGGCTATTGTATGTTGGACTCTGTTTCCCGCATTTTTTTTTTGGGGATAATAATGGAATGGTGCACCCGCCTGCGCTAACGATTTACGCTGGCGGGACACCAGTGGAGGATGATAAGATGAGTATGAGGTCAGGTCAGTTAGCCCCGTGACAAATTCACCAGGAATTTAACACGATGGTTTCCAGAGGGAACCGTGTGGAGGTCGACCTGACATGGTACATTGCTAGCAATGGGGTTATCAATCCACATTACTAACAATCCCCTTTCCGCCTGTTTTCCGCATTTAGATGAGAGCATTTGGGCGCGGTTGAATGGGCTATTTAGTTGGATTTTATCGCTGGTTTAGCTCTTTCTTTTTAGAAATGGGTTTGCATTTGGACTAACCTGATCTGGTGGTAAATGATGGCCAGACCTAGCATGTAACGTGTTTACCCAGTTCTAAGTTGAGCAGTCAAAACGGTACCAACCATTGCATAATAGAGTAATAACCCGTTACATCATATTGTTCGCCCATAGCCATACTCAAAACCTCAACAGAGTTTCAACAAGTTATTATCTCCGCTATCGCTTACTTCTCGTTAAGCTGGTAACCACCAATTCAAGGTAACGTAGGATCACAGCGTGAATCATTCGTTTATTGTTCCGAGTACTATAGCTATTATACAAGAAATAGTTATTTATTTTATTGCTCTTCTGTGTACACGGAAATTGTATGCAAGGTATATTTCCTGTCTAATTGTCAGTGAAGTAAGATTAAATTGGTAAAGCAAAAGACCCAAGGAAGTCAACATCTGAGCCCAGGGAGAATCTAACAAATAATGATGTACAAAATAAATGTGTTCAATTAAATTAAGAACGCTAAGCATCTTTTAGATAAAGGGGAGCGCTTTATCCATTGAATTTGCTGCGGCCCTCATACGATCCTCTAGTAAGGGCATTCTCTGCCAGTCAATCATCGTGTTAAACAGAGAGTATAAGGCGATGCGTTATCATTAGTTAAATATGTGCTAAGCTTATACAAATCTTTATCACAAACGCTGATACAACAAACAGTTCGTATGATGTTTATTTTATATTTTTAGATTGCCGCGCTTGTAACTTTACCATTCGATGTTGTAAAGACACATCAACAAATTGAATTGGGCGAGAAAGAGATTTATACAGGTAATCCTTGTTATCATTTGAGAAGTTTATAGCCCTTCTTAGACCAAACGGTCGGTCAGTTCAAATGTGGCGACACCATAAATTCTGTGTCTAATGATATTTCTGACTAACTCTCGGGTAATGACAAAATTGATTTGATATACGGTTGTAGGCATGCGCCTAATACATTGGTTTCAAATATACCGAACAAACTATGGACATGTCCAGTGTTATTCAAAGGAGACTTATGCTGTCTGTATTTAAATTAGACTTTCTTGTTGTGTAATTATACATTAATATTAATGAATAAATAATATTCCTAAATGATGAATTAAATTGATTTTTTCCTACTTAAATTAATTAATTGAACTTATCAAATATTAATATTATGGTACATATAGGATTGTTCTAAGTCGTAGAATTCTTGAGAAATCATTAACCAGCTAATTAACATTTTATAGCGTATTATAAGCTATTATACATATAAAGAAAATATTATCTTTACAAAATAGGCGTGTGATTAGAGTGTGAATTAGATTCCCGCTTTTATAATACTACTCCCCAAGACTGAAAGCTGTTTCAGCTGCTAAGAACAAGCAAAACCACACTTATATGTTTATACACATATTTTTCAGATGGTAAAGTTCAACAAAGGGCCTCAAATATGAAAAATATTGTTAGAAATATATACAAAATTCATGGATTCCAAGGTCTATTCACTGGATTATTACCCAGAATATTTAAAGTAGCACCAGCATGTGCTATAATGATTGCAACATTTGAATATGGAAAACAATTCTTTCAAAAGTATAATACACAGCAATACAAAGAGAATATGCAAAGGTAAAGTAAATAGTTTTGATGAAAATAAATTTTGTCAATTATTTTTATTTGCCTTCCCTTTTAATTTTTGTAACCTATATTTCAGACAAGGCATTGAAATAGACATAATTAAAAGTGATAAATAAATTGATCAAAATTTACTGTTACTGAAAAAGGTATTCATCTTAATATATTGTCACCAATTCTCAATCTCGTGTCTGATTGAATTAATAGTTGTGTATAGATGTGCCACGTTTATAAGTTATATGGATTAACTTTGGAACTATATTAATAGGTCAGAATTATAAGTATTATATTTAAAAAAATCTCGCCGCTCTGTTCATGGTGTGAGAAGCACAGCAGAATCCCTAATATTTACTAGTTTATGTCCAAAAAAATTGTTCGAATGACAATTCATCATTTCAGCCAATCATCCACTGTCGAACATAAGCCTCCTCCATAGACTGGCACAAGAAATTCTCATGAGACAGTATCAATCTATGCTCCACGACACTAAGATCGTCGCTGCATTAAGTGGAAGAAGGAAGAAGTAATTTTCGACTTATATATGTATCGCAAGAAACTTTCTTCCCTAGTAGTAATACTGAACTGTTTTTCTAAACGCAAAATAAATGTATTATTAATTTAAAAGAAAAAAATATTATGTTATTTCATCACGCTATGTTATCGGCCGTGGGATTTCCATTTCAATTTATTTATCTTTCTGACAGGGGTGATTGTCTTCACTAATATTGTATATTGCAAGAACATTCGAGACATTATAAGGACTTTAATTTGTAACACAAACTAACATACTTTACCCAAATTAACTTATAAACGTGGCAACTGTACTTCTAACACATCTAAATCCTGTCTTTTTCTGTAGCAATAACATGTAGTTGTCTTGACTCATATACTAACAGTCATAAAATGCACTTATAGAGAACTAACATTTCATGTTCCCTCCTTCTTTTTAGATAAATTAAAATCAAGTTATATGTTAAATATATTATAAATTAAGTATTTGCAATTATAATTTCAATAAATGTTTAATCTAAACTAACAGTAATGACACAGAGGAGTACTTATATTATATATATATATATATATATATATCACATATTTTTAACACCAGTTGATTTCTTGTGGGCAAGTCTGTGGAGTGATGATGGCCACACAAAATATGTTGTTCATGTTTCTCTTCGTCTAATTTCTATTTGCTGGTTCAGGTTGCACTCTATATATATGTAGTCCTCTCTGGTATTGATAACTACCGACATCGTAGATAGTCATTAATCTCATTCTAGTTTTGGTATATGGTTAAAATGGTATTATACTGTTTAGTGGTATAATCAGTCTATGTATTTATAGTTTGTGATATTAATCATGTAAAAATAACTTATCAATAATTATAGATGCATTATTAGGTATTTGTAATAAAGATGAAAGATATTGATTTTCTTTCGTTTCTTATTTTTTTCAGGCATCAAGAAATACTTTTGATCAACAAATCTAGGGATTATTCTTAGAATTCTAATAAAGACATAATTAGTAAATGCTACGAAATTCGAATATATAACATTGCTACCATATTTTATGTGATATAACTGTGTCAGTTATGTACTTTAGTTTACCTGTTATAAATTTATTCTTTTATGGAAGTATAGGAGGCAGTCTGTCACAACACAAGTTATAAGGATGATTCTTTTTTTATTATATATGTACTAAATATAATTATATTATTAGTTTCTTATAGACACATAATTTATTATAACAAATATTAATATTAATAGTCTTTGTTCAACATTGTATAAATATTTACAGTGCCTAGATAAATTACTGCAATAACTAGTTACTGCCAACTATGTGGTTATAATTGTATAACGCAACTAGATATGTTTTATGTGTCAATTGTGGCCTTAACTGGGCCCATGTGTCATGTGTTGCATAATTAACTAAATTTCAATTTGGAGTTCCTAGATAAAGTTTACTATATTAAATTATCTTATTTTATAGAATTTAGTATTTCATATTGTGTTTTGGTGCAGTGTTTCCGTTTTATTTTCTTTTTCTGTGAAACTATAACGGAATAATTAATATAGTTTGCACTAATAGGAGTATATTTTATTTATGCTTGACTTTTGGCCAATCTGGTCATATTAGATGTCTTAGCTGTGATGTAAACATTATTGTGGTCACACTGAAATTTAATATAGTATTTTATTTTCAGACAGAGATATCTGACATTAGTTCAATTTGCATGAGACTAATTATGGCACTGCTATAAATTATTTAACTTGTATAAAGAGTTCCTTTTTCTTTTATCCTGTGGAAAAATCTCCAAATACCATCCCTTTGCCGGGTGTGTTTCACTCACTGAAAACCACACAGTGTACCCACAAGTACCATTGCGGGAGTGATGAGGTGGTGTTAGCATTACTAGCATCTTGAGGATGATGTGGGGCAGGCCCCAGATGGAACCTGCCCCGGCCTGCCTCCCTCAAAGCTAACACTCCAGCCCTATGGGCCGGACTCTTGCAGTAGATTAGAGGGGCGGAAAGAGCTCCTACACTAAGTGTATGCAGTTGCTATATCAACATAACTGAATATCTGGCTTTTATCTCAAAATTTTAATGAATCTATTTTATAGAGGTAAATGTGATAGTTTTTGTTATACAAAACATTACATCAGCATTTTCAAATGAGTAGTAATTATTATAATATACATTTGACAACCTATAGAAAATAATAGATTTCAATAGAATAGAATAAATAAGAACATCAATAGAGTAATTTAGATTATATTGTTTTTCTGTAAGTGGAATAGTCTTTACATTGTCATTTACATGTATTGATTTACCCATTTAATTGTGAATAGATAAAAAGAGCATCTTTTTATCTATTCACATTTAGATGGGTAGTAGACTAGCACAGTAATAAACATATAAAATTATTTTAATTTGAACATATGCTATTCTATATATTATTTAAATAGAGACAGATTTAGTAGGTTTATTTAAAAAATCTTCAGGAAAATTAATACAATAATCATATAGCAAAATTCTGTAGTATTCTATATTATTTTCAATAATAATGTATGTATCAGATAATTTTGCATTCTTCACAATTTTATTAAATATGAATAGAACTACACACCAAGTAGATAACTATAGTCATTCTTATACCTTCAACTAAATTAACCTTAGACTCAATGTAAACCTATTTTCAACTTCATGACATATTCCTTTAATAAGTCTCAAGTATGTAACAAATATATAATTAATAAAATTTTAATAAGATTTTCAAATGTTGCTGTTTAAATATTAATAACTCTCTAATTTTAGATTTGTTATAATGCAAATGCATTAGTAAATTGTATGAATTGTTTTTAGATTATATCACATAAAGTATATAAAAATGTTACCTATTATCTTGAATGTTATTATACATGAATCTGATTTGTACATAGATATAATATAATTGTTAGTTTTATTATGAATATATATTATTTTAAATTAGAATTTGTTTACATATCACTGTGAATGGAGGGAAACGGCAAATATCTATATATTTAATAAAAACAAAATAATAAAAAAAATACTTATTTATTACTCAGCCTTATCCAATAAATATTAATGTACAATAGGTCCTAAAGGCTCTGCTTTGATGTTTCCGAGGTCTAGTCTGCTGTCTATTGATTCATCTATTTGACCAACCACTGCTATATTATCTCCTCTAATTATGTGAAGTCCTAGTACCACTTGCGCCACTCCAGTTGACGAAGAGAACACTCTCTCATGTGATTCATCCAAAATTATATTTATCGTTTGATCAAATCCCTTCAGAGTACCGATGAAGTTTCGGCCGTCTGAGGTTATCACTGAAACAGTTTGGTTCACATAATTTTCTAGTCCTGAAGCCATTTCTTCACAATGTTTCTATGCTAATTGTCAAATAGCACTAAGAAAAAGATGCTTATGATATAGGTACTAAAATAAATTCAAATTGATAAAATAAAACTTACAATAAACAGTTTAAAGTTAAACAGTATCATTTATCAGTTAGTTTGTGAATATTGCTACACAGACTAGCTTGAAAACTATGAAATAGACTACACAGATTTCAGAAACTCAAAAGTCAGTTTGATGTCAGCTCATTGCGTGCGAGAATTGACATTTATTAATTACTGTCATAATTTATTGATCTGTGGCGAATTCACGTTACAGATCATAGTCGAGTCGAGAGAATTAGAGACATGAAATATTTTAGTCTGTGTTTACTAATACAAGTTGAAACTTTCAAACACAATTTTCATTTAAGCATTACTTATAAGTAGATAAGGAGTTAAACTTATAATACTAAAGTGACAATCTAAATAGTGATTACTCATTTATAGGAATGATACTAAACCATTTTGTACTGTGCATGTTACTATTATAACCACAATGTCTAACCCAATTGTTCAATATGTTCTCTTAAGAAGTGATTTGTTAAAAGATTTAGGGTGGTCAATTGGGGCTTTGGTTGCCCAGGCTTGTCATGCATCGACAGCAGCTTTACATCTGTATAAAGACGACGAACACACTATACAGTACTTAAATGATCTAGACAACATGCATAAAGTAGTTTTAGAAGTAAGTAGTATACGATAGGATCTGAACTGTTTATTTTAATATACGTGCCTAATATGATGTATATATTACACACATTATTAGTAACTTCTTCAGTTGATAGTGGCAAGAAACTTGATTATTTTTTAAATCAGTTGTAATATTTACAGACTATATTTCTAATATATTAAATTTATTAGTGGTGCCCTACATAAATAACTAATGCCAATCTCGTAATTACAATTTTTAGGTACCTAATGAAGATTCATTGAAAAAAGCTGCAGAAAAATTAAAAGAAAATTCAATAGATTACAAACTATGGACTGAACAGCCTGAGAATATACCTACCTGTCTAGCAATCAAACCTTATCCTAAAGAAGCAATAAAAAAGTTTGTAGGAAAATACAAGCTATACAAAGCTACTATGGTACTTTAAGTAATTTATAATTTATGCAATATAATATATTGTTGCTTTTTTTTCTATATTAAATAAATAAATTATGTTAGACACATCTTAAAACATTTTTATTTTAACCAATATCATAAAACAACATCAGTTAAGATGGTAGGTAAATGGTACAATATGTTCTGGCCTTTATATCTGTGAATGAAGGACTGTGTATATATTGGGCTGGTAAATATAAATATGTAAACACAGATTTTAGAAATAAATAATATAACTTTATGTACAAAAGTAAAATAGCAGAACAAGAATGACTATGACATATATATATTTTTCTTTATACTATAATAGAAAAATGCATAAATAATATATAAAGATATGTGTTGTGCTCAGTATACTTATATTGAGCACAACACATATCTTTATATATTATTTATGCTATTATGCTACTGCTATACCTGATGTGGCTGTCTGAATGGCTAAATTAATTTCTAATATGAAATGTATAATTAGACAGCTATTAATATAAATTAATTTGAATCAGTTCAATGAGGATGGTAATTGGGAAGTGATCTAACTGACCGTTTGGTAGTAAGAGTATATCCATAAATATATGTGAAATATCTACACAATTGAGATAACATGAGCAAGTCTAACTTATTAATATTTTTTAAATAAACTTAATACAATCGAAATATACCTAAATTGAATATACGTTCATACGCATGAACGTTTTTATTGCATATTATATGTAGTAACTAATATTTCTAAAATAAAGTATTGCGAGAGTACAGACGGAAACATCGTGTATATGTATATATATATAAATATTTGACAAAAATAAATTGCATAGTAAAAATTAATAACATTTACTAAATACCAACGTGCAATTTTTTTAATCAAACTCAAACATTCATTTTTCTTCAAATTACATTTTTAGTATCAGGTAAATATTCTTTTAAATATTCCATATTGTGCCAAAAAACGTTACATCAGCAAAGAATGGGCTGTTTACTAATTTATTTTCTGGCAACCCTGACACTTACGTTCTTATGGTATCAACATTGAATGAAATTCAAGAATATTTTTAGTTTATAAATTGTGATATAAAATCCCTTTTACAAATCACGAAAAAAAACAGTTTTTTGTTTTGTTAACTCTTAAATGGTGAGTGTTAAATATTATTTAACATCCAATTAAAAATAGTTAAAGGATTATCATGTTTTACGTGATTCTTTTTGTCAATCATAATATTTTGCATCAATCAAAACTACTTTCCTATTATAGTAATTGATTAATATATTTTATGTTGTTTTTTGGCCTGTAATTTGATCTTTTGTCTTACATTAGATAATTGGAGTTTCAATATTTTGGAAATATTATTCTATTGTAAGTGTTATACGTGAGTCATTTTCAATCAAGTTCTTATGATATCACCAAATAGGTTTATCCTGAAGTGTGGAATAGTATCATTTAAAACCATTCCTAGTTCAATTTCCTGTGATGTTAACATTCGCTTTGTTTATTAGTGAAATCTCTTTGTATAACTAAAATGAGATATGAATTAGGTACTGACAGATGTAGTCATATACATACCTTTTTAGTACAGGGTATGCACTAGGAAGGCAGGTCAAGGCATAATAAAAACATTCAAACAGTCCAATGGAATAGAATAATATTGAAATCTATATATGTTCTTTGATAAATAAAAAAGTACATTTTCCCACTTAAATATTCTAGTTTCTATTGTTTTGGTCTGAGGGTTATGAAACTTCTGCCATACTGGAACATATTATATTATGCTCAAAGATAGGATTTTTTTGTGACTGAAACATCAAACAAGCTAACATCCCACTTGTTGAGGTGGGACAGCAGCTAGTCGCAATATTTCTATTTTAGTAATGTATCATGTCAGGTTGTCATTCTTTGTAAACTTCATGCTTATTCTATTATCCTCTATTGGTGCTCAGCAATATTTTGTTGTTAATAATTTAATATGGTACTTCCAATTGTGTTAATTAACGCTTATGCTACAATTGTAGCACAAGTGGGTGAACCATTCAATCATTATTCATAGAAAAAATGAACATCTATTCACATGAAAAACAGCTTGAATATAATATCTTGTCATGCTTATTCCAGTGGTATTAAATGCCAATTATGTGAGGATCATTTATATCAAAATCACCTCAAATAGATAACATAGTTATTACAATGTTTTTGTTTTGTTCCTAGTTTATCCGCAATTAGTTTATCTACTATAATCGGATTGGTTGGCAAATAGCAATGAAAGTCAGCAGTCCATTGAGTGCAAGTATTTAATGACTCCCTGTGGCATACATTCAGGAATTGAGAACTGGAGTGTTGCTTATCAATATCCAGTAGATGTGTTTATTTCAGGCATTTTGGGGGGTTGTCAGTTAGTAACCTCTGAGCTAGTTCATTGGTGTGGACACTCAGTCGAGCCCTGATATTTGAGCATATGCTAGAAAGCTCCACTTGTACTGAGGGTAAATTTGAAAAGTGATAGATTTCCAAGTTGGTTATAAATCATGGTGTCCTAAGAATGGTCTTCAACATTGCATTCTCAGATCACTGGAGAATCTCAATGTTGGAGGTATTAGCACTTTCCTACAGTTTAATGCAATACATCCAAATCGGTTTGATGACCACCTTTTAGACAAGCAACTCGTTCTCTACTGAGAATTTCTACCTAAGAGCTAGTATAAGTTCCTAAATGAGGTTGGTTTCATCTGTTTAGCTTGATGTGGGTTTTCCTGGTGAGCCACCAATCCAAATGAAGAGAAGAAGAGTTACATTATGTTAATCTTTATAAGGTGTTAAATAAACTAGATATGAAATACAAGGTGTATTTCATGGATATCTAGTTTATTTAATTCTGTTCTACATAGTACTACTTCTGAAAAATGTATATTTAAATTTGGCAGTGTTTCTATAGAATTTCAGTTACGCATTGAACTCATACTAGTGGTATAATTGTTCCTCATATTATCACAGGAATTTCTTGTTTACAGGTAACAGTTAGCAATGGCTTCATCTAATACTTTACAGAAAGCTATTGATCTTGTAACAAAAGCAACAGAGGAGGATAAAAATAAAAATTATGAGGAAGCATTACGTCTTTATGAACACGGGGTAGAATACTTTTTACATGCAGTGAAATATGAAGCACAAGGGGAAAGGGCAAAGGAAAGCATTAGAGCAAAATGCCTCCAATATCTAGACAGGGCAGAAAAGTTAAAAGAATACCTTAAGAAAGATCAAAAGAAAAAGCCCATAAAGGATGGAGAATCCAATTCAAAAAGTGAAGACAAAAAGAGTGACAGCGATACTGATTCTGATGACCAATCAAAGAAGAAATTAGCAGGGCAGCTCGAGGGAGCAATTGTACTTGAGAAGCCACATGTCAAGTGGAGTGATGTTGCTGGATTAGAGGGTGCAAAAGAAGCATTAAAGGAAGCTGTTATTTTACCCATAAAATTTCCTCATTTATTCACAGGCAAACGAATACCATGGAAAGGAATTCTTCTCTTTGGACCACCTGGTACAGGTAAATCTTACTTGGCAAAAGCTGTTGCCACAGAAGCCAACAATTCAACTTTCTTCTCTGTTTCATCATCTAATCTTGTTTCAAAATGGTTAGGTGAATCTGAGAAGCTAGTCAAAACCTTATTTACACTTGCACGAGAACATAAGCCAAGTATTATCTTCATTGATGAAATTGATTCACTGTGCTCATCGCGATCAGACAATGAATCAGAGTCAGCTCGCAGAATTAAAACTGAGTTTCTTGTACAAATGCAGGGTGTAGGCAATGATATGGATGGAATTCTTGTCCTCGGAGCAACAAACATACCATGGGTTCTTGATGCAGCTATTAGGAGGCGATTTGAAAAACGTATTTACATTGCCCTTCCAGAAGAGCATGCACGGTTGGATATGTTTAAATTGCATTTGGGTAATACTTACCATCAGTTAACAGAGCAAGATCTGAAAGATTTAGCTGCAAAAACCGATGGATACTCTGGGGCTGATATAAGTATTGTTGTCCGTGATGCTTTGATGCAGCCAGTTCGTAAAGTACAGTCAGCCACACACTTTAAGAAAATGAGAGGACGCTGCCCCACCAATCCAGACATTATGGTGGACGATTTATTGACTCCTTGCTCTCCTGGGGATCCAGGGGCAGTTGAAATGACTTGGATGGAGGTTCCAGGTGACAAACTTGGTGAACCAGCTGTGACTATGTCTGATATGCTGCGATCTTTAGCCACTTCAAAACCAACAGTTAATGATGATGATATGACAAAACTAAAGAAATTTATGGAAGATTTTGGGCAGGAAGGATAAATTGAGGGTATTATTTTTGAACACATTTTTCTTATAATTTATCAAAATTAATTCACTTACATATATGATTGTACCCACTGCATGGACTTTAAAACACAGTTACTGTGTGTTGCACATTAAACAATTCTTGTGAAACTATACGACATAAAAAAATTATAAGAGTATTTGCATATGGGTTTTGGTTTTCTTATATGTATATGATGTCACAGGTACCAAAAAAATATTTTAAAAATTGCTTCTCCTATGAAAGGATATGAAATCTTTTAATTTCATTTCTAAATTACTGTGATGTCTTCTCCCTCACTTTTTAAAATATAAGTTTTGGTATCAGTTGTAGAGGATACACCATTTTGCCTTTATTATTAACATGATTTCGATATTTAATGTTATATATATGGTATCTCAATAATAAATAAATTAGTTAAATAATGAATTATAGTCTTGAGGAGGTATTCAAAATTTTGCTTGTGAATAACATGCGAGTACCTGTCAAGAGTTATTTTTTGTATAAAATAATGCATAATACGAAATCATAGTTATATTCATGTTGTCTTATTATTTATATAGTATAATGTAATACTAATGTGAAATAAAACATTTAGGAACCTGACATTATCTAGAGTGAAGAGATGACAGGGTTTCAATAGAATTTAATGTTTGCTTATTAACTTACTTAAGCACGCAAAATGTAATAGTAATAGTAACTCAATACTGTCCTGAAAATTCTTATGTTTCTTTAGATTTATTTTTGATACCTATGTTAATATACTGTATCTAGATGTAGATCGCGGCATATTCTGAAATGTCATTCTTTAGATTTTAGACTAATCGACTGACTACTCAAAACCCAGTCTAAACAGCTGTGTTTAATTATGTGTATAGTATATTTTATGTGTAAATATAATTTATGTAATTATTACCATTTTATATTAACACTACTGTTGAACATTTAGCAAAAGGTAAAATCATGTTATATGTGGTCAATAGACAAGAAAATAATAAGCACACATAACTAACTTAACTTGTTTTCTCGTTGTCCTATCTTTAGATGAATGATTTTCATTTTAGTATATAATTATGTATTCTGTCGTATTATTAATAAACTTTATAGTTTTTGATTTCGCGATGAACAATGTAGGTATATAAAACAGTTCATGTCAATCTGGAGTCTGTAGCTAGCTAGAAAATATTTAAAATAGGTGCACAAAATATGCAGTCTATATTAATGTCGATTCACTTGGTCAATACTTTATTCCTAGTATTTACTCTATTACTATCCATAGAAGTTAGACCAAGTTTTGTAATATGGCGGGAAATGACTAAGTTAGGTCCTTTTATGACGTGGTCTTACATTATGAGAATTTACCAAAACTAGCGGCACGATACAACGATGATTTCTAGAATTACATTTCAGAATCTGTCCATATAATTTAGTTGTTATTATTATAAAGTGATAATATTGTGTTACGTTATTTTATCGGAAGGAGTTCAAGACGTATAAAAATGTGAAGGTAGGTTTGTCTATATTAAATTCCATTATTGGAAGTCATATTCTGATTGTATATAATAGTATTCTTGAACTCGTCAAAATATTACAAATTATTTTTAATACTTTAATTTGTTATTGTACATTTAGGTTATAAGTACTGTATTTTCATTAAAATATTTTTTCAGTAATAGGTTTAGTTGATTTATGTCCCACAATAATGGTTAAATGTATTTTGTCATTAAGCTTATTAAATATGTTTTAATTATATCTTGTGACTTAATTTTGTTGAGAGCGTTGTGGCCTGGTGATTTACTAATTTACTACCAATACCAACTTATTTTTTTTGCTAAGTTGGAATTTTTCAATACAAATAGCGGCATTTTTCGTCAAAAGCGAGATATAGTAAAAAACTCACCGTAGATAATCGAGTTCTTAAATATTTATCTTTTTAATTGAGTTCAAATTACGTTTACGTGACAATAGATAACAAAAATAACAATAATAAAATAGCATTTTAATAAAAATATAATATTTTTAATCAGAAATACGAAACGGATTGTTCAGCAGTTGAATCTTGTTCTCCACAGCTTGCTGTATGCAGCGTCGAGTTATCCAAGAAAAGCGGGACAGACTCCCGCGCGGAACAGTTATTTTTGATTTAATAATCGGCACGTCTGGCAACGATGTTTACTACCTCGATTTATAGACGTCGAGGTTGGGTTTAAGTTGATAGACAAATGTATTTATTTCGTTGATAGAATCATTCTACAAATGGCGCTGGGTCGATTTTGCCTAAGTTTATTTATGTAGTTTAATGCAGCCATGTATCCTAAATATTTTAAATTGTTTTCCAATTTCAGTACCTATAATATATATGAAAAATCATAGTTTATATAGTTATAATTTTGTATCTCATGGCATACAAATTTAACAGGGTATGTTGTGATATATCAGAAACCATATACCTATATATATATATATATATAGGTACAGTTTTTAACGAGTGGGTAAATAATAAATAGTAAAGTTTAAAACATCACTGTATTTACATTAAATGCTTAACAAATATAACTACCTATCACGATATTTTGTCACGCACAATCATATTGACGCATGTCAAAATCAGCAAAGATGCGCCGACTCTGCTATTGCAACTAGCTGAGTTGGTGTCTGTAATGAAAAAGATCGAATTATAGTAAAACTAACTCCTGTAAATTGCGAGTAGGATCCATAAACCAAGGGGTCTAAATAAATATAGAACTTAAAATATAAGAAATGGTCTCTAGACCTTAATGTTATGGCTATAGTATCGGATCACGTGTTTGTGGGAGTTTTGTGATGATTCAACAAAAACTGTTACTTAAAAAGATTGTTTTGTTTTCCTGTTGTTTACGTATGCTTCTATGGACTGTAATTATTACAAATCTTTTGCTGTAGCATCTTCGGCAATAGAAATGTTTCCGTAATTCATATAATATTACTTTCTACTCGCCCCGGCTTGGCACGGGTGTACATGTACCTATCTATAATATAAAAATGAATCGCTAAATGTGTTGGTAAGCGCTAATCTCGAGAATTACAAAACCGATTTCGATAATTCTTTTTTTAAAATATACCTTGAGGTACGAGGATGGTTGGATGGTTGATGAATTCAAAAAATTGCCTAAATACTACACTTCTGTAATCCCATACAAACGATTCTTAATGATACTTAAAAGTCAATTTGAAGTTTAATACCATACCATAAAGTTGAAATGTCAGTGGAGAGATTCCGGGAAGAATCCTATACAAACGATTCGTAATGATATTTAAAAGTCAATTTGAACTTCTACATACCATAAATTATTAAACCTTCCTCTTGAATCACTCTTTTAAAAAACCTCTTCAAATCCGTTGCGTAGTTTTAAAGATTTAAGCATATATAGGGATGGACAGACGGCGACAGCGACTTTATTTTATACTAACTGTACCTACGACTACGTCCGCGTGGAATTTTATTTTATTTTTCTAAAATAAAAGTAGCCTAAGTTACTACTTATTACATCAGCTACCTACCAAAAAAACTCGCGTCATAATCGGTCCAGCCATTTCAGAGATTAGCCGGTACAAACAGACCGACAGACAGGCAGACAAAAATTGTAAAAAATGTTATTTTGGTGTATGTACGGTACATACACAAATTTATATTCATAAGCATGTAGTAAAAAACTGATATTTTAATATTACAAACAGACAGTCCAATTTTCTTTATATGTATAGATGTATAGATAAAGGTCATAATATCATCATTTGAATATATGTTAAATTGGATTAAGATACTCTTTCAGACGATATAAGAGTTTGTTTTTGTCTTTTTATTTGTGAATAAAAAAGGAACCTGCCTATTAAGACAGTTCGCTCTCTTTTGTGTGTACCAATAGTAGCAACGCAGCGGAGTTTCATTCGAGGTTTGGCTGGAGCTTTCAGTCCGAGTGTAGACACCAATAATCCTTGTGGTACAGGTTTCGCACCGTAAGCAACCAACCAGGATCGTTCTGTAATCTGAAAATTTGGATTGAAAATATAAGTATTAAGTTGGTACTTTCACTGGGACAAAATTACAATGAAATATGTAATCATGACGATATTTTAGTTAGATATTGCTCTTAGGTCAACGTTAACTCAATTAGGGACTATTTATAATATATAGACATCTGGTAAATACGTAGGTATATATATATACTATTAGCAATACTAAGTATACCACGCGTTTAGTATAAACTGGAAAGCGTGTAAATGAATACGTTAACTACGTATTCATTTACACGCTTTCCAGTTTAATGAGGAATCAAAATTTCAATTACGAGTTCATACTATCCTACTACTATAGTAGGTATATATACTTTTACCATATTCATAATATTAATAATAGATTTAAAGACAAACGTGACTGTAACATTATTAACAATATTTTGGTCTATAAAGAATGTGATGTCTTTTATAGAACAAAATATTAAAAAAAATTGATGTTCATAAGTGGCTAAAATGTCCTACATGAATAAATGATTTTTGATTTGATTTGATTAAAATGTAGATATCCATGGCCACGTAAGTAGTCCACAATGAGGAAGTCAAAACTATTTACCTTTTGTCCATTAATATGCCAATGTAGGTCTGGTGCTGGGAAAGATCTAGCAGAGGAACAGTTGACATCAAGAGGTTCGTCTATTTCATAACGACGTTCATGTCCAGTAACACTAGGGCTATCGCGAGGAAAATCTGCAAAAATAGAAACATCTAGAATGGTAGAACAAATAAAAATATATATTTGGATATCAGGCGATACAAGTAACTGGTATGTATTTATAGAAGACAGTTTTCAGTTTCGGTTTGACATTATTTGTCTTTGTTTTTATTAATGGTACACCTGCCTAGCTTATTGTTTTACGACAGCGGGTCACTAGGATAGTGGAGGATGATAAAATGAGCAAGAGGTAAGGTCAGTTAGCCGATCGTGGTGAATTCACTAGGAATTTATCATGGAGGTTTGTAGAGGCATCCTGTGGAGGTGAACTTGGTATTCGAATTAGTTCACATTACTAATAATCTTAGTTCACATTACTAATACCTTACCCCTTAATTACCAGTTGGTTAGTAGGTAATTATTATCATACTAATCACAGTCATAAATTATCATAATAACTGCCCTTTATCGTTCTATTGATGGGTAACTACTGGGTTCGGGTTATTTGTTGTAAAACGAGGACGTAAACTAATACGAACACGTGGAGGACTGAATCCCAGGCCTGACTGGTATTATGGGAAATAAATTACTTAAATTCTACTTAGTATGGACTAGCTGAACAACGGAACTTCGTCTGTATGACACTTAATTGACATTTATCATTAAAATCGGCCAATTTACATTTTTTTTTAAATTGTAGCCTATTTATATTGTTACGACGTATAAGTTATATTACTGTATAGTTTTATCAAAATTCCTTTATTAATTTTTACGTGAATGAGTAACAGACATCCATCCATCCAGCTACCTACTTTCGCGTTGATAATACGAGTATTATCACAGATACATTAGTAAGATTATCCTGAAAGTGTACCGTCTATACCCTTTGGATTGTGAAGACTTTTTACAGTATAATAAAATATGTAACGTTGATATTTACAGGTGCCAAATGAGTCCGTTTTGGGAGTTGCAAGGACATATATTATTAGTTATATGAATATGAATTTTAAAAACAACCAGAGACAGAATACACTTTATAAAAAGTTTGTATTTGCATGATTTCCAATTAATAAAAATACAATCAATTCCAATGTTAATTTCATATCTCAACAAACTGATCGACATTTTCCTTATTGTTCATTCATTTACGTTGAGCGAAATGTTAAATGAATTAGTTAGGTTGGTACGGAATAGCTTAAGGCACTGAAGCGTCTTACAGTGAATTTACTGAATTAGTGTGAGTACCTAGTAAACTTTATGTAGGTTTCTGTCGCGCATGGACCAAAGTGCCGGCCCCGTCATTCAAATATGAATGTTACAATTTGGCGAAATTGGCAGAGTTGCCAACGTAATACTCCTAGGACTTGAAACATATCTACAGTATACATATATACCTAACGTACATATTTCAGGAAGTTTCGCGAGGGAACGACATGGCTAAGTGCAATTTTGTATTCGGTCATAATATTACATTGATGTACTTACATAGAGACAAAGATATTACGGAGAGAAATGTTGTAGGTGGTTAGTTGGTTTTATTTTTTGTAGTACATTCATACCAATATCATAACTGCGTAAGTATATCTGTCTGCTGTCTATTTGTTACCTTCTCATGACGAAACTGATCTTATATTTGTTTAAACTAATAATGCCTAATGGGTATCTACATATTTTTAAGAAATACAAATAACAGAGGATAGGAGTTTAAATAGATTTACGATGTTTTAGGTATTATAAACATTTTAAATTATGTACATCCGTTATCTTATACGTTTGTTTTTATAGCTCACAAAGTATATAATCAATTATTAAAGATTATCTTTAATCAAGAGATTCAAAAACCCTGACATTAGAAACATCTAGAACCTAAGATAAAGCAATGTAGGAAAGTGTGAAGAGAACAAACTTATCTATATATATTTGTCGTCAGTTTTCCTAATTCCTAGTACCTCTTTCTTTATGTAATTGGATTGATTAATAAGTCGACACCCACCTGGTGATAGCGTTTAACAGTGTTGATGGTAATCGGTTACCGATATATATATATATGACAATACTACGTTATCATGTGAAACCAGTGATACCACTCATACGTTACTATTCGAGATGACGAAGATGCCATGCTTCTTATCCTGTAATTGCCTGCCTAATCTGTACACTTCAACCGAAACCAATCTTAAAAACAAGCTACACGACGCGTCGACGGTTGAAATATTAAATCAGCACACATTAGATGTAGAGACCAAAAGGATTTAATGGTAACTTACGGTAAACCTCCATGAACGCTTCAGCTTGTGCTGAATGGAAAGATGGTGCTTCTTCAGACACCTCGCAGCGGTAGAGTCCTCGTGATCTCAATGTTAACTCGCGGAGATGTGCATGTCTAGCACTAGACTTTCCCAACTGTAGAAATACGAAAAAATATTGATTTACTATATGGGACGGCATAAATATTATGATGATTATAAAATGCTTGCAAAGCTTATTATCCATCCAAATTAATACTATAAATTTGAATATGTGTTTGATACCTTTTTAGAACTAAACGAAGTATCGGACCTTAATGAGATTTAACTTAAACTTAATATATTGAATTATGAGCACGGACATAAGTTATATTTTATTTTCCAAAAAGCAGATAAAGCCACGGGAAATAGCTTGTATGATATATCCCTACTAATATTACAAAATGTGAATGTGTGTCTGTCAGTTTGCGTGTTTGTTACTTTTTCATGACTAAATGTCTGAACAGATCTTAATGAAATTTGATGTAAAGATAGATGGTATTATTATTCGGACGTAGAGTAACTTTTATCTGAAAACATAATCTGGACGGGAGTAAATACAAGTTGAAAAGCGTATATGTAACAGCCAGTGAGCAATTTATTAATTTAATGTGCTTTTTGTTTTCTTTTTAATTTTCAATATATTGTTTTATTGTGACGTCAGATAGAATTCTAAGAGATTAATTGCCCATAGACAAATGAATACGCGTTTCTATTCTTACATACATATTTTTTAAACTTACATCAACTTTTACGCCGTCTAGCCTATGAGCGTGTTGAGGTGGCCTCAGTCTCGGCATGTACCGGTAGAACTCCTCGTTATCCCTATACCACTTCACGGAATATAAGCGACCGCCTTCCAAGTCATAGTCGCATGTCAAAGTGGCAGGTTCACCACGCTGTTTGTACTTCGGTACCGTGATGCTGACTACTCGCAGACATATTGTTACTGACAAATAAAATAAACAATAAATAAAATATTGTTTATTATTTTCATATTTGCTAGAAAATGTTTGCATCATTTATAAACATAAACAGCACCTTCGTTAATATAGATACTGTGATAGCCCTTAGGTATGCTTTATATAATAAGGACTTAGGTGTACCTCTGAATCACTCCATATATTATTTTAGTGCACAATTCTCCAAACCTAACAAATGTAATATTACAAAGCTAACAAATGTAAACGAAACAGCAATATAATGAAAATATTGTTTTCTATACTAAATAAAGTATTTGTTTTTACAAAAGTTTACGACGATAGTAAAAAACGGGGAATGTCCTTTTTGTTAATCTAGTTCAAATATTTTTAATTAGGAACGCCAAAAAACTATTACAAAAATATTTTGACACAGACCAAAAAAGTGTAAGGTATACTTATTTATAATTATCAAATTATAAAGCTATTTATACACACATGATATTTAAGTATATAAGAACGATGATTTTTGTAAAATTGTTTATGTATTTATTATTGCATAATTAAGATTCACTTTTTATTGTACATTTAATTAAATCAATTTTAATGTTAACTAATACTGTCTGATATTATAATATCTACATTTTATCCGTTAGTACAGATTCAAAATTGAAGTCGTTAGTTACAGAGTGCCTATAAATATTTATAACGTTATCTAAAAAATATATAACATATAGTCAAAATAGAAAACCTTATAATTACCTTTTACATACGCAAGTAGAAAGTAAATTATAACAATCTTCATATTTCACTATTGTCATTCACTTTCATCGTCTAAATTAAAAATACAAACCAATATTTTCAATTACAGTATGTAATAATGTTTTTTTAGGCTATATTTAATATTAATCAAGATGTATGCTTGGCAAATATTTCAAGTGACTTTAAAATTACTAATCATGATTTTATTTTGCGAATTAAATTTTATTTGTTAGGTACGTAAATTGGAAAATCATAAACTAAACGACATTTCGCGTTCGTAACTTTAAGTGTCGAGACGTAGGCGCGAGCGAGCGGTTTACTTCGTGAACGGAATGCAACTGTTGCTATGTAAAATTCGCTACGAGCTCGTAGAGCTACGCCTCCGCGTAGCTATAAATCGTAGTAATATTTATATAGAAGCACCACATAAAAGTAGATGAATAATATTTACTCTATTTGTCTATTATAATGCATTAAGGAATTTTGGGTGCTGTTGTTTATAAAAAATATTAAGGTATAAAAATATAGTAATAATTTAATTATATTCGTACCGTAATGCTTTCCAATGAATAAGATAGTTTTAGATCCCACATTTCGTAATCTTATGCTCTTATACGTGAAATAACAGAATTTGATTTGTACCTATTATTATATTATACCTATATATTCTAAATTACATTATAATGTTACTTATGTTTATTAAATACTTAATAAATGTTTAAAAATAGTCTAAGTACGTACGTAAATTATTTTATGCAAATATTTCATTGTGTACCTAAATGTATCAATTCCAACAAATAATTTTATACAAAATTAAGATATACATGTTAGTAAAATGTATACAAGTACAATATTTTCATTTATGTAGGTTAACAATGAAATAATTACATAAAATATATCACTACAAAAATTACAGTGAAATATTTTAGGTATAGCAAATAACTATAAATTAATTATATATATATTAATGAAGACTTTGGTATACCTATATCTACGAACAAATTAATAATAAAGTAATGGAATCTAGAGGTAGTGGTACCTACAGGTACAAAGAAGTTTTTATCATGTATTTATTGCTGACCAGAATTTTTTCTTTAAGTACGGAAGATAATATTGTTTTTGTAAAACACAATAATAGTACAGGTTTCCTGGTTGTTTTCCATTATCTCTATGCTATTGTTGTCATGAGATTAACTACCTGTTACCATGAAATTGTATGAGCTGATATGTACATTTAGTTGATTAACTCTTCTGAATGAAATTTGTATCACACAATTTATTTTGAAATACTTAATCGACTAATCTCAGATATGTTCTAGATTATATTCCTCACCTATATTTAAAACATATTGTTTTGTGTTTCAATTAGTAAAAGAAAACTAAATAGCACTGTTGATTCATGAGCAAGAGTTGATTAAATTATCAATTTTTTACTTTTTTAGTGTTGAGAATTTGCATTTGGTGCCTCATATAATATATACATGTTCATTTCGTATACAGATTTTGTTTAGCGAACATATTGCGACCCACTGTAATATTCAGATCCCATGAGCGGTAACGCTCCCAGGTTGAGAAAAGATTGATTAGATATTATCCAAATTGCCGAAAGCCTTTGATTTCCCGTTTGCAATTCCCTAACTCGTATTGGACCTAGTTGGTAGCACCAGCTGAGCAGCATTTGCTTTGAAAACTAATTCCAATGTAATGCTATTTGATTTCGACGAACTTTTTATACTATGTAGGCATATACTATTTGTGTAATAATAATAATACTGGTATATTAATTGCAAATTTTATGGTCATTGAAAGAACAAACTGACATTATAGCTGGAATCCTGTTTGAGGAATACTTAAATAAAAGTAAGCGTAATACTAAATATGATCGATAAAATCAAAATGATACAGTTAGTGTGTTTTGTAATGACTATGTATTGCGTTTTCCAGTGGCATGTGCAGAAAAAAGACTAAGGAAGCTGATAGACTGATTTCTCTACTCGTGATAATTGTTTATATGCACCGCTATTTCTAGTCGACTCTTAAATAAGACTTTCGTATCAGCGTCGATATAGCTCATATATCTCATATCATATATATCTTATCACATATCATAGCAAATATCCCGTTTATATAATATTTTACAAGGGTGTACATACAAACCTTTCTCTTAATTTACTCTATTTGTTGCTAAAAACTGCATTAAAATTGGATGCGATTTAATTTTGTACAATGTAAACATGTAGAAATGTAAACAACCATGAAAAAAAGTTATAAACCGATATATCTAATTTTCCAGACTCTCAGACCAGTGATTTATTTTATAACATTTATCCACCATATTATGTTTCTCATAACGCCATTATAGCTCATGAAACGCCTTCTAACAATGAAACGAAGCCAGCACAGTAACTTGACCATTATTCTGCTGTAGTTGGGTTCTATAAATAAAATGTTTTTACAGCAATACTGTACTCATACGTTTGATGTGACCCTGCATGGCTTCAATAAATGACTAACTTAAAGCTTCAATTACTACCTTTTACCAAAAGAAGGACTGTAGATTCTTCTCGTTTCTCCTTTCGATATTATTTTTGGTTCTTGTTTTACGCGATATCTTTAAATATTGAGCGCAGTTTCATGATTCATAGTGTTCATTCCTATCGTAGATTCCCTGTTACTTAGTTATGTCCACAGCATTAAAGACTGAAAATTGGTGGCTATATCGCTTGTAATTTTTTTATATCTGTTCTTATACTACTAATAGTTTTGGTAAACAATAACAAAAAAACTACTATCCTAGAAACTGTAACAAAATTAGTATGCAATCAACATGCTAGTAAACGTTATCGATTAAAATGAAAATCGTGGTGATAAAAATATTGCGTAACATATAAAAAATCGCATTCAGTTAGGAATTTTCCTATGAAATAGTAGGTATAATAAAATATGAGATGCTTCTCACATATTCAATATTTAATTGGAAAATTTGCATGGCTCTGGTTTTATCGCCAGCATAATTACCTTTTTATAATATCTGCAGAGAAGGTAATTAAATATTAAAATAATTAACGTGGACTTTAACTACCGATTAATTTTAATTATCCATTGGGATTACGCACAGAAATTGGTGGGCACTGTACCCGGAAATTTTAATCATGTTTATCTTTTATTGCTGCAGAATTAAAGTAGATTGTTAATTAAAATACACCCTAAGATAGGTATGATATTTAAGATTACGGTAAACACGTAAATTTATATACCTATATATTTTTAATAATAAAACTTTAGCTGTTTAGATTTTGCAGGTTTGATTAATAACGTAAGTGCCTTGACGATCAATGCTACTATATAACAATATTAATATAATAATACCGTTAGGCCACAATATAAATTCATGAATATAATTCAGATGTTGCGGATGGAGGCAGCGTCGTAGTTGCCAGTTTATTACCGTAAATGATAATAATGAATTGTTTGGCCGTCATAAAAATCTATATGTATAGATTTACATTCTTATAAATAAAACTGAACTGTGCCGGGTTTGGGACATTGAATTCAAGCGTTCGTTGTAAATGTATAATGATAAATGGAATATGTATTTTCATCTTCGCCATTAATTTCCAATTTTATTTTTCTGTATGTATAAACATTTAGAAATAAACGTTAAATATACCACCAGTCTCATTTTATAGACACAAGTATACTTAATTTTAATGTAAGAGACGATATAAACAACTTATAATAACAGACAAAGTCGTAAAAGATAAAAGATAAATTAGAACTATTATAATATTAACTGATCTCCGTACTCTCTAAGACAAGTCACCGTACGTTATATTGATAGACCTCGTACATATTCAAGTAAACAACAGCAGTAAACACGTTCCAGACTCGTATTAGCCGACATGCGTAGCTAAGGGTCGGATAAGGGACTTCAATTTAACTTCGTCCATTTAACTAGGCATCACGTGCATAATAGACATTATATTGCCGACTTACTTTTTAACTAGTTCGGACTATAACAACGAGCGTAATTGTCATAATTGTGGCAAAACATCAAAGTTCTAAGCAATTGAATATGCAGCATCTTGAAATGCTGAATTCGTTATTGGAATCTCATTTTAATCGAAACTGCGGGTGTGCGTTATTATAATAAAGTTTCATTACAAATGTACTATAGATTATACTATACCAGTGTTTATTTCAGTGATTAAGTAATGTTAATAGTATTTCGTAACCGCATATAAAAATATACTGAACATTTTGTTGTGAAACTGTTAATTATGAGTAAATATAAAAACCATTAAGTAGAAATAAATTAAATCCAGTGTGAGTTACGAAATGATTAATTTTATTTTTAAATATATATATTTCTTAAGTAACATACTGAAAGTCCGTATTTACTTTTTAAAAGTTCGAAATATATATACGTGTTCAGTAATATAGGTATTGACCCCAAGATTCCAATCAATTCCGTGAAGTGGTTGTCAAGTTTTAATGGACAGGTAGAGAGACAGCAAAGCTTGTGTTATAGTTTGAAGATACCTTTTGCTGTCGAAACTAAGTAAAATGTTGCTATCGTTACGTGAAATTCAATTTAGTTCTTATGGAAAAATTGTAATATATTGAAAAATAAATCAAAGTACCTATATCTCTCTAGAGCGCCACTTTATACAATGTCGTTTGCATCTGTTTCATTTATATCTGTCGCTAAGCAAGTAGTTTTGTAAGTTGTATTCAGTTCTACATCTTAACTTATAGTTAAGCAATAGTCCTTAGATGTAACAATGGATGGTGGGTAGAATGTAATGTAATAGTACATAGGATAATTTCTTCTTGGCGCATAAAGGCGCAATGTGAATGCATGTATATAAGTGATAGTTCCATGAGGTTAAGTAGACGATACTGCCATGGTACTAATGGTTGCTAGCGTTTCTAGTCCCACTTGAAGTATGTATAAAAATGTTATTTTATATTATAAGGGGTAACTAATTTATTTACAGACCATAAATTCTTTACCATAAAAATAGTTTTTCGTCCTCATATATTAATTAATAATTTATATTTTATTTTAAATGCGTTCTTTGTTTATTATTTCTCATTTGTATTTACGAAACAGTTCACTCCTGAGGTAAATGTGTATTCAGAAAGACATAGACCTACTCATATAATTGCATAGACATGAAAGTAATAAAAAAATAATGACATGTGTAAGCGTAGGTATATTAAAGAAACACTTTAAATTTCAGATAAATACAATTATGTTTAATAGAGAACAGTGGGTATCACGTTAATATTTTAAATTTAGTATTATCGCGG